CAGAGAACGGTTCGAAAGGAAAACTCGAGAACAAACGACAAGACGACGACGACAACAAAGCATCAACAGGACATGCATAGTGCAAAGCATACCACTATTGCAACCATTGCTGTACTAGTTACAGTCCAGAGCTATATTCAAGTGTGTCCCTGCTCATTTGTAAGAGTTCTTCCATTGAAGCCCCCTTTTTCTGTTTGTTTAGTTGATTCAAGTATCGTGCTGTTCGAAGCTCTTGGTAGATGTGATCCCGAAACACTTTCAAAGGAAAGAGCTGATACTCATCCCGACTTTCCCACAATCCTTTGGCTTGTATTCATCATGCAATCCTGCTGCCATATCCTTTTTGAGTAGTTTCTGGCAGCATCACCTTCCCACTCTGGATAGTTTCCCTTTGCCGAAACTAGATTCTTCGGGTGGTTGGCCACAAATCGATCAAAGGCCTCTTGATCCTCTTGTGCTCGAGACACATCCTTCTCCATTTGAGCTCGCAAGTCAGATAGGCGCCGTGGAAACTTGGCCCAATCGCCTTCAAGTGTAACTTCAGTAGAGAGTCAAAATAATGCCGGATCTCATCTTCGGTCTCCTCATTGGGTGGATCAAGTGGGATGGTCTCTGCCATTATGGCAGCATAAACCTGCCTTGGCATCACCTGTACTTCCATCCTTTGGTTGTTTCTTCTTCTTGGCGGCAATGGGTTGACTTCTGTTGTGGCGAGGACTGAGGAGCCAAAGATCGCGTGCTGTGGATAGATAGAGCATCGCCGATAGCGTCGAAAAATCCTGCTGTCAGTCAAACCGATACCACCTACCGCTTACTAAGATACTTTAGCTGGGAGATTCGATTCGATTGGATTCCCCGTGATCCAATAGGATTTCGACGGCAGATGACCCACGCACTCTCGTGAGAGCAAGCTCAAGTTCGTATGGATTTTGCGTGGCTTCTACTAGCCAGCTACTATAGGTAGCAGTAGTTGGGCAGACGTCGCTGGCTAGCTAGTTGGTATGGATTGGGCACAATGGCAACCCCCAGAAGATCAACAAGGAGTCAAAGAAGGGTCTCCTCCATTCTACTAGTCCAACTGCCACTCCCAGAACTACAGCAGCAACTTCTTCATTTGTGAGTCCAGGTGGGATATCGGTCAAGAGCACAACTAGCACTGGCAGCAGGCCCGGTCTTCCCTCACATTTGTTGAAGCAGCTCGCGGCAGATATAGAAGCTGGGCTTGACGGGGGTATCAAGGCGTTGCAGCAGGGATCAGATAGATCTCAAGTGCTTGGTACTCTACTTGACGAACGACTAACAATTGACGAAGGTGCCCTGTACGGACACAGAGGAGATCCGGTTCGAAAGCAAATCGGCCTGTACGTTGGTCGTTGGAAGAAGCTAAGTGAGGCTGATTATCTCAAGAAAGTGTTGAATAGGTACCAAGTTCCTTGTTCTGCAAACCTCAAGAAAGAGCCAGCAGCCAGCAAGCAGAAGAAGAAGCCAGCACCCAAGAAGCAACAAGTGAATTTTGATCCTACCGTGATCAGTTCCTCTCGTCATCGTCTCCTCGTCGATATCTCAGTCGGAAGAGGAACACTCCTTTTGCAATAAAGGAGATTACACCAAGCCAAGAAGAATCCACAGAGAAGAAAGCTTCAAACCCAAGCCAAAAGAAGCAAAGCATCTCGAAGAAGATTCACTTGAAGCAATGAATACTTCTGGAGGAGACAACACCGGCGAGTGTTTGCTCTGTATTATGGACCAAGTAATTGTGCTCGATGCCTGTCTCTTACCTTTGCTTTCTTTGAATTTTCTTGCTTTCAACAGGCAAGATTGTGGTCAATATTGATCAGTGGTGGAAGACCGCGGAACCGTTCAAGGTGATCTCTGCTGAAGGTCTCCTTGGAAAGGAGAATCCCAAAGAGAATCCCTAAGACAAAGGCCGCGAAGATGTACAAGGGATATCTGATTTTTATGCGTGTACATCCGGTGGATGCCCAGGGAGATGGTGGGAAGAGGAAAGCATTTCATTTCAAGCTCGGGTCTACAATGACATGAACTGTTGTTGTTACAGCTCCGGGGTTGGATTATTCTAATTCGGGATATGACAATCCGGAGATCAAGGAAATGCTCGAAGCGGTTGACGAAAAAGGTGTACCCATAAATGATGGAGTCGTTGGGAGGCTATTGAGAATGCCACGGTTCAGTTCAAAGAAGAGGTCATCAAGAAAGAGAAGAACACGAAGGTTTACCATCTCGAATTACCCAGAGACGTCGAGCTTTCGGCGGATGTGCTGGAAATCAACTCGAATAAGGAAGACGGGCTTATGACTGTGGGGACTCTCCCGGTACAAACGGATTTGGACATCGAGAACGAGCTTGATGAGGACGGCCAATTACCTCAAATTTCAATGGAGAACTCGGATGGAATGGAAGTGGACGTGTCCGTTTGGTCTGTTCATTCTTCGCCTCGTCTTGTTTGGCGGGTTGCCGACAAGGCATTGGACAAGCGAGCTCGTGGGTCAATGGATTCTGACGAGGAAGAGGAACCAATGACGGATGTTGCTGCTTCCATGCAGAAAATGAAAATCGTTGGCAAAAAAAGAAGGCTGGCAAGAAACGAGGTTGAGTGCTGAGGTGTTGTTCTGTCCGCCTTGCCAAGCTGTCTGTGTAGTCTCTAACAACAATAGTGGATGGTTTTTGTTGATTGCTTTTTCGTGTGTTTGTTGTTCCTACTAGGAGGCACCGTGCCAACAAAACCAGTAGCACCGCCCGCCCCCGCGCCATCTGTTGATCCATCGGGAACTTCGTCTAACAGCAAGAAGAAGCAGCCAACAACTAAGACGAAGCAGCTTGCCAAGAAGCAGAAGCCACCGGTTGACAATGCTCTCGGAACCGGAAACAGTTTCGATTCTGACGACATGTTTGGTGACGATGGCAACCTTTTCACTTCTTCCAAAGAAAGATGACATGACGAGTGCTTCAACAGAACATTGATCAGCTTCAACAACAGCACGTGGAAACAGACGCTTTCCTTGGGGGCCAGAACGATGATACCATCATGAACGACGAAACAGGCCACAAGAAGAGAGGAATGCATGAGATGGCGGCTAAGTCCGAGAAGCAGGGGCTGATTCGATTGTGCCTGTGCCAAAGCAGGATGACAAGGGCGGAGACTACTAGTAGTATGCAATATTACGATTAATCGCCCATTTACATATCGCCCACATAAATATTCCAGAGTGGGCTTCCATGCTCCATCTGGTACTGGCAAATGACAACAATAGCAGCAACGCAGAGCTGGAGCTTGGCTTGGCCATGCCGATGGACATGGTCCATAGCTTTGAAACTCTTTAGCATGCTGTTGAAATATTCATGGCGTTTCAAAGCTCTCGATTTGAATCGACGAACACTTGCAGAGTCATGAGCGTTTGGAGTGCTTAGCACATCACGATCGCCCGTGTATCCACCGTCGGCAATTGCTTTCTTATTGAATTCATGCAACTTGTCGCGTAGGCCACCGTTGGCTCGAAACATAACTCGGTCAGGGTTTTCTCCTGCCTTCTCAGCCGGCAAAATTTGTAGCACCTGACTCCGAACAAGAGATAGAACAATCTCAGTGTTGTATCCAGCGGAATGGTGCTTAAAATCAAACATGCCGGGATCTTTCCCAATTTCTGCATGGGCAACTTCCCAAGCCGCACTCATAGTAGCATCAACCGTGGCGATCCAGATGTCATCTCCATGAATGTGATCTTCGGGCCAATAAACTTTCGAGGCAAGAAGACAGGCTACTCTTTCAACAAAGTACCAAACCCACTCTCGCTGTGTTGCCACCCGCTGTTGATATGTGCAATTCCGCTCAGTTTCAGTGGGATAGCGCTTTAGAAAATGCAGTGCCATGAAGTAATATTTCAGCTTGAGCTTCTTCACTGGCACTCTTGCCTCATCAATCGATGTTGTCTGCAAATCTTCCCAGATTTGAGCAGCCACAATAGGGAAAGGACCGTAGCGATCCTTGAAGGTTGAGTCTTTGCCTTAATACCCCATTTTGATAATCGCTCTTCTGTGAATCCAGCAAGTGCCAATCCCTCAGCAAGCATCTCGTCTGGCGTCTTGATTGAGTACACTACATACCCATCATCATCATCAAAGTATCTTGCCATGTTGTGTTGCTGCTATCCTTTTGTCCTGCTGTTGTTGTCGACGCCGTCGAGTGTGTTGCGGTCGTCGAGTGTGTTGTCGTGGTCAAGTGTGTTGCCGTCGAGTGTGTTGTCGTGGTCAAGTGTGTTGCCGTCGTCGAGTGCGTCACTGGCGGCTGTCGCAAAATAAGAGGATGTTTCGAAATAAGAGGATGTTTTGAATTTTTCGGCTTAAGAGGATGTTTCGAAGGCTTAAGAGGATGTTTTTAAGAGGATGTTGTTTAAGAGGATGTTTAAGAGGATGTTTAAGATTTAAGAGGATGTTAAGAGGATGTTTCGAACTAGTCAGCCAGTCGTGGAAATTTCGAAGTTTTTTTAAATCCTGAGCGAAAACCGTCGGACGGTCCAGTTCACTAGCTAGCCCAGTAGTTAGCTAGTCACCGTACGGTACCGGTAGTACATGTAGCCCTCGTTCAGCCCAGCAGCAGCGAAACGTTGACAGTTCTGTTGACAGTTGACACTTGAAAGCAAGCGAACTGAACCCATAGCTATTGCTGCAAAGGCCCCAACCCAAGTTGAGGGCTATTTGCTACCACTGACATGCCACTCGATCTTTTAGTCGGGCTTCACAATCCCTCCGACTTCCACGGTGTCTCCCACGGTCCCGCTGCACTTTTGAACACCCCACCACGTCGATGCCACAGGCAATGAGATGGAGTGATTCGATTCAATCGATATGAAGGGAATAGCAGGAAAGCAAACTACTCCGATCAAGTGAACTGTTCTCAACGTATTTCGTACTAAATAGATCATATACATCCTAAGTTGGTTGGAGGGAAAGAGCCCTGCAGCCCCGTGCTACGGCCCCACTAGCTAGCAAGACATGTCGACGCGCGCATCATTGGAATCCGCACTGGAGCCGTACTTGACAAGATATTCCTTCACAATATCCTCTCCCTTCCTGACCCATTCCTCGCGGTTTTGCTGAGCGTACTGCAAGTATTCGTGTGAACTGACTCCGAAAACACCACAGCTTTCAAGCTTCTTGGCCAAGGGGATCACATAGAAGTCAAAGAAACCAATCTCGCCCTGGAAGTGAAAGAGTACAGAAACACATGGTCAGGAATTGTGGTTGGCAGCCTGCCGAGGTCTGCAATTCCTGGCACGTACCTTGTACCAACCCAATGAAGGATCCGTGTCACCACCACGACCGGCCTTCCAGGCACCGTATACCTCTTCGAAGAATCTCTCATTCCATCGCTGGGAAGAGAGCTGCTGTGAGCAAGGATCTGAAGATGGAAACAGAAGCAGCAATGAAGGGAAAGGGACCCAACACTTACCTTGTAAATTTGCCAATGCTGCATGGTATGGGAAACGTCAGAAGCCTGAATAAGATGCTCAATCTAAAAGAAGAGAACAAGGAGTGAGCGGTGATGAGAACGATGTTTCAATGAGTACACATTCGAAGGGCAACAAGAATCGATCATACCACGATGGTGGCCTTCCTATCCACACAGTCCACGTCAAAGAGTTCCTTGGTGAACGCCTTCTCCCAGCGTCCTTTACGAAGGGCACCCAATTCTTTATCGACAATGTCAGTTGCTGCACCAAAAAAAGCCAACAATACAAAGATACATTCATGTGAGTTTTCACTTGGAAGAACTTTGCAGGACTGCCCCGTACCGGTACCATTCGGGCACTTACCCATGACTGTGTTGACAACCAACTGACGGAATCGCAACAACTCGTCCTCCGTTGTGTAAATACAGGCACGGAGGTCCTTGTAGTCTGGCCTCATCAGCAGCTCCCAGCATTGGTCGACGGAGTTCTGTTCGGCAATACTCTTCTTGTAACGAATGGCATTGGGAGTGTTCTCCTTCACTAGCTGCACATTGCCCACACCAGGATGGTCAGCGTCGTGCATACTACAACATTCGGGAAGATGCAAAGGTTGAGTACGTGTGAGCTTGGCTGTGACCACACAATCAGATCTGAACAACCAATTCATCTGAACTGTACTCACACAGCAGAAAGGATGACGGCCAGCTGCGTCATTGGGTCCGATGTGATTCCATAAGAATGCCCTGCCATATCCACTAGACCCGGGGCATTTTCTTGTGAAACACCTGTGCGCTTCACGATGCGGGTCAACATCTTCCTGACCGAAGAAGTGACGTGAACGGCATGCTCGACTGTCCAAAACAGGAAACGGAGGGGCGAGTTTGACTCATTAGAGGAGAAGTTTTGCAACAGCTGACATTGTGAAGAGGTGCTTACAGTTGTGGAACGAATTTGGGTTGTACATATCAGCAATGCACGCAATGTAGTCGCGTAGTTGAGAGATGACTGCTTCACCCAACTCAATTGAATCGGGGTCTTGTCGTCGGAAAATGTCTTCATTGGAAACCTTGGGAAGGTGAATGATTTCCTTGAATTCTTCAAGAACAGTCGCACCTTGACCGATCTTCTCTTCAAAGTTTCGACTCGGCTTCCTCGACTTGGAAGTCTGGGAGCTATTCCGAGCAGCAACAACCTGTTGCAGAAGCTTGACCATGACCTCGACAAGCCATCCCACCAACCGTTCTTTCTTTGAACTGAGACCGGCATCATCCTCTTCATCAGGATCGACAAAGGTTTCAGATTCGTCCTCACGTGCTACATCGTTTTCCTCCTGAATAGACAACATCTGATGGCCGGACTCTTCCAAGGGGGCGGCTGACTTCCTGTCCTTGTGTCCGTACTTTTCACGTTTGGCTGTGTCCGATTTGGTTTCGAGCCAGAACGTCTGGAGGTCGCCTTTGCCTTTGATTGGCGTCAACTCGCTCCGACGAATCAACCACTGCTCTTTGTTATGTTTCGTGCGCAGCAGTTCAGCTGTGATATTCGACACATGGATTTTGCCACCCATACCTGTGCTTTCAATTCTAGACGTGGTGTTCACCGTATCACTAAAAACAATTGAAGAATACAGAACGTGAGAACGGCCACCTCAGCGTCCCTACCGTACATTGCCGGACGAACTGGCCTTCATGATAATCTTACCCGAAGATTTGGTATCGTGAACGTTCACCACGGAGAACTCCAGCAGTCACTTGACCTGAGTGAAGGCCAATGCGGAGCTTTAGGTCGCCTGTGTCAGGACCTAAGCGAACCTCCAGCTTGCGCGTCATCTGCTTCATCTTGACATTACATTCTCTGGCAAACCTTGCCATTACCAAAGCATGGTTTTCGTTTTCCTCAGGACAACCACAACAGGCAACGTAGCAATCTCCGACTGCAGACAAAGAAACGACGCGAGTAACCAGGAAGGGAGTGAGGAGCTGGTCTACACTTTTGGGCACTTCTTTACCGTTGGAACCTCTTCACTTACCCGTCTCAACTTTGAACACTCCCAGGCTATTAGCGGCCTTGTCAAAGGAGGAGTAGACTGATTCCAACAAAGCAAATACTTGGGGCGGTTCACGCGCAGAACTCCATGCTGTGAATCCACTGATGTCCGCGAAAAGCACCGTTGAGCTCAGAAACAGGTCCGCAATGGGCGGGGTCGAAAGCAAACCAAAGGGATCATCGAGATCCAGATCGGTCATAGTGGAGCTACCGTCTCCATGCAATTTGCTCTGGGGTTGCACGTTGTAGAGACGATCACGAATGGCCGCTGGGAAAACGTTGGAAACGATGCGGTCCTGGCGGATGACTCGCTGCATAAAGATCCTCTGACGACGTCGCACAGTTTGATCGTACAGCGCGAAAATGAGTGCGGTGAACAAGACAACTGACGCCACGATGGCAGCATAGTAATAAGGCCTATTGGTCATGAACGTTTCTGAAGCAGGGAGGGCAAGCAAAAGTCAGAGAGGTGTGGACGGGAGTCATGGGGAATGATCAAGAGCAAGTCTGCCGCTTACCTTCGAGCTCTTGGGACGGAACCACTCGAATCTTGATTTGAGGGACACAGAGGTGGGGAGGGAGCACAACATCTTCGCTGTAGGGGATGGTGAGGAACTCTTCCTCCACGGCAAGATGAGCGTAGTTAGGATCAGACATGTCTTCGTTTCCCAAGGGAGCTGCATTCAACCCATCAATTTCGTAAGAGACTGTCTTGTTGCAGCTCGACTCAAAGACAACGACAATTCCATTGACATTTGGAGGGACCAAGTTCTTGAGATAGTTCTCCCATTTTACCGTGGTGCGCAAGATGGCAACGACCTTGCTTTCATCGAGACTGCCCGGGATGTTGGGATTGGGGACGTCTTCAAAGATAGGAAACAGGATCTGGCTGAGTCCGTAGATTCCAAAGTTGATGGTGGGTGTCTTGGTGATCTTCATGGTCTCAAAGGCATTGGGAACAGTGCCCTGTGTGTCTTCGTACATGTCCGACATGCGAAAGATAGTGTTTCTGCCTGGAGCTGTGGGCGCCAACTGATAGTTGACAATGTGCGGACCGGGTCCAGTTTGTGGGAACTGCTCTGTATTGGAGATGTTGGGACGAACGCTGATGACATCCATGGGGTAGATTTCAGAAATGTTATAGTCTTCGCCGGGTGCGACATAGTCCAAGGTTTGCTGACAGGCCCACTCCTTGTTGTAAAGAGCATACTCTTCAAATTCAAGGCGCTGTTCTCCAGTCACGTACGGACCCAAGATCATGAAGAAGGCGCCCACCATCTCGACAGTCTTGGTGGCCCTAGCTTCGTAGTCTCGGACGGTGACGAAAGGCCAGGTCTGGTTGGTACTCTTGGCGTAACTGGTGAGCATGACTGTGAAACCGTCCAATGCCCTCATCGAGTTGGCGAGGTTCCTCTTGGAAACCGCAATGATCTCGGACGCGTAGCTGTTGAACTGGGGCATGACGAGGACATGCGGTACAAGGCGGTGGGTGTTAGATACTCTCAAATGTTCAGTTAGTTCAGCAGATAGATGTTATGCGTGCGGCATGAGGCGAGACACTCACCTGGGCCTCAAAGTCATCCTGCTCCTCGTTGCGGATGAGAAGATAGGTGGCAGTCGCCAGGGCAATCAAGGACAAGCCCAACACGACAATGACAAGGACCTTGAAAAACAAGACAGCCCGTTGCTCCTTCTCGGCCAACACAATGGGTGGAGGAGCCGAAGGACCAGGCTCATCACTGTCGGACATAGAGCCGTAGTGAGACTTGGAGTAGGTCGTGACGGATTCCCCGTCGACAGAGAGGGCCCTGGAGGATCGCGTCGACTTCGTGTCAAACTCAACCACTGGCACGGCCTGTTCAGGGTCCTTTTCCTCCAACGTCGTCATGGTGGAGTGTGAGTGGATAAGGGTGGGTACCACGGTACCGGTAGGTGCTGATAAGGCGAAGTTGGAAAACTTTCTGTTTGGCTCGTGAGCTTCCAAAAATTGTGTGACCTCCTGGTACGATTTGCCGATCGCAGATCCAACCGTGCCGGACGGGAGGAAAATTATTCGACGATTCGACACCGGTACCAGTGCCAGAGGGAGCATTCAATAAATCCAACTTTTTGCTTGAGAGCCATCATCATCATGGAGTATGAATAAAGAGAGCTGTGAACAGTAAAGAGTTCGACTTTACGTGCTAAGCAGGAATGCTTACTAGCTAGCTAGTAGTACTCACAAGAACAATCGGGCAGTACGAGGTACTGTACGGTACCGTACGGTACAGGATGGCCCAAAATAAGGACTCCAAAACTCGTGATAAAGTTGGAGTACGTGAGTACGTTACGTTCGGGGTTCGGGGGGAGGTCAATGGTCACAAGTTCGAGAACTCATTTAACTCATATATTTGACCATCGAGGATTCACTTCCTTTCAGGATTTAGAAACGGAACTTAATAATTGTCTTGAAGAGCCTGTTTCAACTTGAGATTTAAAAACAATCGATCGTTTATGACTCCCCCGACACATCAGTGACTTTAAAGACTCAGTTCTCCCTCTGGCCACTAGCCAGCGAAGGCTAGACTACAGAACACAGACGGCACAGTACGCCAGTTTCGTTAGCTGTTTGGTTATGATCGTGCGAGGTGCGAGAGAAGTGGTGATAGTCAAAATTAGAGAGATGATGCCTACTTGCACACACTATCAGAAATGATGCCTACTTGCACACACTATCGGAGAAACAGCCACCACACGTCAGCTTTGACAGCGTCTCGATTCGATTCAAGCGCGGGAAATGATGGGTGCCGTGGAGGCGCAGAACGCCAAATAAATTACAGTACGTCAAAGTCTGAAAGGGCTCAACATTGCTGCTGCCAGCACTCGACGAACAGGTCCAGCATAGAAAAGATAAAGTCCCCACCAAAAAGATGAGGCGGTGGCTGATTGTGTTGACACGGATAGCTATTGAAGGATCCAGCCACCAACCTTGGGGAAGCAAAATCCCATTGTCATGCGGCAAGCCTTGAATCTCCACGACAAGATTATGAAAAGCCAGATTGCCGCACACTCGGGCTACATATGAGATTTCAACCGAGGGAGATTCCTTTTCCGTCATATGACGCGACGGATGCTCTGAAGTTTGCCCTGAGGTCATGAACACGGCGGCATGGGATCCTGTAGGAGCTGCTCCAGCTTCGTTGGGCATCTGATGACGACGGAAAGGGACGACGAGGACTCCGAGTGCGGGTATTATCTATGCATCTTGACAGCGTCAAGCAGATGAAGGACCCGTGCTCGGACCGCATTAGCTACGGTACAGTGAACAAGCCGTCGACACTGGCAAGAGCCTTGAAAGTTTGGCCGTGGGAGGACAAATAAATCATTGCTATAGCTTGCAAGCATGGGAAGCGGCGACGAAAGCCGAGTTGACCTGCACGCCATTGATATATCTCCACTGGGGTAGACCTCATGTTGCTTGTGGCCCAAAAGGAGGACCACTATTTTGAGCCAACACCAGTCAACAGCCATTATAGAGGTAGCGCCTGACTCCTTGAACATTATCCTTGGAAAGACAGAAGTGACCACCAAGGTGGCAACAACTGCCTCACCCACCTCGCCTGATGGTCGACAGGGGACATTGAATACTATGTTCATGTCATGTACGTACTCCGAGGACTCGAGTACGAGTGGGAATTACAGAAAATCAGAAGTAAAGCGCCATTATTGAACCACCGCACATTACGGTACAGTGGTACAGTATCCAACTGCAGTGTCGTGATACTAGCTAGCTACTTGGCTTGCTCTAGCTAGGACTTCACGCATGACGTCTGAAAGAGTAACAAAGGTTTACATATCATCATTAATCATCACATTCTAGTCCTGCATCAGTCACAGTGCATGGATTCAAGAGAGTAGTGGTATTTGTGACTTGGACAGACCCATCAGGCCCAACTAAAAGTCCGCCAGCCATCAATTCAGAGAAAGCATCATTGCCAAAGGAAAAGGGGACTGTTTCATTGGCTGCAGTCAGTGTAATCCAACCTGGGTACATACCGGGTTCAAAACTGGGATTGAATGGGTCGCCATCAGAAACACCATTACCAACAAGATCAGATACAACAAGCTGATACGATGTGTTTGGGGTAACATCAAGAATGAAGGAGTACATGAAAAACCGAGGCAAGGGAATCCCACCCGATCCTTCCAGTTGCTGGTCCCAAACTTTGTGGAACAATAATCGCACCATAGAAAAGCACAAAGGTGTTCTGGAACGGTCCCTGAGAATTCATTCCCGTCAAGTCTGAGATCTCTAAAACCAGAGGAATTCAGTTCCCTGGGAAGCGTTCCTGTGAGGGAGTTGTTTTGAAGCAACAAGGTGTTCAATGATGACAGGGAGCCAACCTCACTCGGGAGTGTTCCAGTCACAAGATTGCTGGAAAGATCAAGCTCCCACAGTGATGTAAACAGTCCAAGGTTACTTGGTAACGATCCGCCAAGGAAGTTTTCAGACAGTCATCTGCCCGAGTTCTGTTGGAATCTGGCCTGTAAACTGATTGACAACCAATTGAAGCTCGACCAAAGCATCCAGCATAGCAAACTCTGTTGCAATTGTGCCAGTGAGCTGATTTCCCCACAAGCTCAATTCCACTAAGGAAATCATTTTTTAGAATGCTGTTGGAATGCTGCCTTTTAGCAAATCACGACTAAACCTCAAAGATGTTAAGGAAGACATTTCGTAGAATGCAGTTGGTAGCATATCAGACAACTTCATTGCAATATCGATATTTTGCAAAGCAACACGGGACAGGGAAGTCAAGAGTTCTATCTCGGGTGGAACCATAGGTGTCAACCCCGATGAAAGGTGGAGGCCTGATAGCCAAAGAGAGGTGAATTTCCCATGGCCATCACATGAATCAACTCTTGAGGAGTCTTGTATGGGACGGTAGATGCTGAACGAGAACCACCCAAATCCACTCGAGAACCACTCAAACTCCCCCTTTGTTTCGTCCATCCATCGCTCCTTTATGAGAGGGTTCCAATTTTCTCCCTCAAAAGCATAAAAGAACTTAGAAAGAGCAAAGAGTTGCGTTTTCCTCCAGTCTGAAAGAAAAGTGACGTTTTGATGATTGGCAAGCCAATTCCATGCTTTCCATTGGGGGGTTTCACTGCCACCATTAATGCTGGCCAATGTGTATTCAGGTAGGTTATCCAAAAGTCAATCAAGAGCACCTGTGGGGGCAGACGATGGCACTTCGGAAGGTTCCATGGAACCATAGGCAGTGGGTGTCTCTGTGGAAATGAAAACGTCTGGCTCTTTTTGTTTCTGGGTTCCAACCACAAACCCCACTATAATGCCGACAACAAGTAGCAGCCAAATCAATGCGGCAATTCCGAATTGCTGTTGACTCTTCCGTTTTTGTTTCCGTCGCTGAGCAGCTTCCAGATCTACTGGATTGGCATGCATCATGTTTCCAGTGTCATCATCGTCTACAGGATCTGCTTGTGCCAGTTGCGCACCACTAATACGGGTGTTTTGCGCAATTACATTATGGGGCATTTGCATGTGGGTATAAGGGTCCCTGCCAGCACCAACTAGGTCATAATTGAGCGTTGTTGTGCGTTGCAATCCTTCTCCCGGTGTTCCCATGTACGCCCCAGGAAGAGACTCATGGTGTCCTTATCCCCTAGAACTGCAATACCAACGGCTCTACCACTGTGGAGGCATCCCTCTGCAATACCAAGGGTTCCGTCACTGTGGAGACTGCTACTGTGGCAGCCTCGCAGTCGAATGGCGCCTCGTCCCCTTTGGCGGGTGAGTGGGTCTCCTTTAAAATGTGATCTGCCTCTAATGCGAAGTCAAATAGTTCTAGTCTTGTGACAAGAGTATCAGTCGCCGTTGGTTTGTCAATACTGTTGGCGTTATCAAGAATATCCATCTTGGAAATCTTGTTGGTGGTGTCGTGACCACCGGTCGTCTCCTCCTGTGAACATTGTTGCTCTTGCCATTGCCTGGGTCTCTGCCGGTTTGTCACCCTCATGGTCTTCCGCTAGATCCTTCTCCATCCTACTGTACCTGTTGTTGCTATCTACTGTATGAGCTCCAGCTGGTGCTAGTTGTTGTTGAGGTATCCTTGGGGTTGTGATTGTGCTCGCACATGGTGATCTTGAGAAGAGATGAAGGGCGAAGAGATCAAGAAGTGATGGTTCGAGGAGCACCGAAAGAACAACTGATCCTTAACGTATCTATCCTCTCTAGCTACCTGGTAGCGCCCAGTCGGAAGAACCACCCCTTCCATCTGTTCCCGCCCCTACTATCCCTGCCGGTCACCCCATTTCCACCTTACCTCCCCTTCCTCCCCCCCTCTCAATCCCCCTCCAGCCCCCGAGCTCTTACGTGGTGATCTTTCCATTCGCGGCTTGTTCGAACGTGGTACTACAGCTACTATTGATGTACGTATCACTGATTTAGACTGTGCCTCTTACCGCAACAAAGATCCCGTCGTCAAAGTTTTAACCCAACAATTTCCAAATATAAAGAAGCGTGCGACTCCAATCGTGCTTCCTTCCATCCCTTTGTTGTTTCCGTGGATGGCATGCTCGCCACCCAAGCTAAAAATCTTTTACAACGCCTTGCTTCTGCTACTCTCAAATGATGTTCTTCATGCAGACTCGTATCTCAATTGCCCTTGTGAAAGCTACCCATTTATGTCTCTGTGGATCTCGCAAAGCAAAACCATTTGGCCCCCGTACTGGTCCTCACTTTCTTGCCCCTGATCCCACAGAACCTAGTCCTGAATTTCGACTGTTCTTTGCTTGAGCCTGGCCCCGGCTGGCTTCCGTAGATAATTACCCTACTCTAAACCCCCGTGATATCTATTTAATTAATAAAATACCGGTACCTGGTACCGGTACGGATCCGAAAATGGGGCTTGTGAATGTCAAGTGTGAGTTGTGTGTACGTGAAGGACCTAAACACTAACCTTAAGGCGGAGGCTACTGTGGAAGCAGATCCCAAGGAGATAGCAAGAGATAACAAAAAGGCCGGAACACATAGCAAAATTGTGAACGGGTCCAGGAAGGGTGTACATGTACCTGGTGGCATGTATGTTGAGAGCACAGCAGGCAGTACGAAATTGGTTTCTTTGAGCACACATAAACACACAGGACACAACAATGGCCAAAGTAAAGAGACGCCGCTACAGTCAAGCCTATTCCTGCGCAGTAGAATTACGATTTTGGATTCCCCTAGTGGCGCTGGTGGTCATTCTGGAAATTGGAATTTTGGGCTTTTTAATGTTTCAGTTGGAGACCCAGCAGCAACATCATCATCATCACAATCATCCGTGGGGAGGCTCCTTGTCAGCTGTACGACGAAAACTGCTGCGTCTGTGGGATCCTCATCATTGGAACCAAAAGAACAAGGAAAGTTTGTCCAGCATGGCGAGAGAATTGGGGCAAGTTCCACCCTTTCAGCAGTCCAAGTTTTCCCAACATCATCTTGACAACAACAATAACCATACCCAGCCATCATTGGACAATTTCTACAGTCGGCCTCATCTTTCTTCTTCTTCGTTAGATGATCATGACAAGAATAACCACAACAAGCAACCGTTTCTGATCACCGTGGGATCCGACGGCAGTGGCACACGCATGTTTGTCCAAACCTTGATGGATTTGGGTGTCCCCATGGTCGTGGACAGCTACGACACTATGGATATCAATGCCGAGGAAATTGTCATTGAAGGGCAACATGGACGCAAGGACCGTGGATGGCCGCCCCTGGTACACATGGTCATGGGGGAAACGCATCGAGCCGCCAATTATACCCTCCATGATCTTACATCCCAAGCACAACGACAACAAGTCATGACCGCCTTGCTAAAACTCAAATCCAGTCTGCTGCAAAAAGCACATCAACTCAAAAAAGAGGAACGCGATCTTATTACAGCCAAACCCCCGGCAGCCGGTGTACAGTTGGGATTCAAGGCACCCATTGCCATGCTGTTGCTGCCCTTGTTGAAACAAGTCTTTGGATCCATCAAGGTTCTTCACGTGGTGCGCGACGGCAGAGATGTGGCGCTCAGTGACAATACCAGCCCACTGCAAAAGTTCTATCGAGCATTTTACGGCCCACGTCCCTTTTTGCAGGCACATGGTCAGCAGCAAAAACCTCCTAACGTGCAATTGGGCATGATGCAATTGTGGGCCGATTGGAATCAACAAGTCTATCAATGGGAACAAGAACAAGTGCAGAAGCAATTGCAGCAGCAAATACTACGAGAAGAAAATTCAAATGTTATTGACAACGACAGTGACAACAGCAACAACAATCAACCTCAATTGGATTACATGGTGCTACGAACCGAAGACCTGCTTCATCCCGATACACGGTTAGAAGCACTGGTACAACTGGCAGAGTTTGTCGGTGCCCGCGTCACACCGCGTGATTTGTGCTGTCAGAGTCAACGACCGCTTCACGACATGGGACAATCCAATAATCGAGAGGCTTTGACCAAAGACATGTTTCTGGAACTCCTCTTGGGAAGAAAGGACCGAAAGACGCAGCAACAAGAAGAACGGGCCGTCAAGGCACGTTATGGGAAATGGAGACATGCTCCGCCCGAGTTGTTGTGGCAGTTGGAAGATATTGGCAAGGAAACACTGCAACTGTTTGGCTACAATCCACCAAGGAGGTTTCTCGATCGTGCTGGCAGGGGACTCCACTGTGACGAGATTCTCCGGGAGGATGCCAGGGACTGCCCGCAATGAATGACAAACGGTGCACCTTTTGGGAACGGTTCAGCAATAAATTGGCTTTGGGTTGCTCTGGTTCCTACAATCCAATCGATGCGAGATTCGCACAGAACACATGCATTGGGTAAAACACAGTTGAAGTCAATGCTGGCCAAATTGGTTACGGGGAAGGTCGGTTATTTCTTTTACGCCTACTTCAATGTGATCATGCTGTGGCTTAGTTTGGCTTATTCTTCCTCTCATGAAGCTTGACACGAGTCCAATCCTTCTCCGATGCAATGCTCGTTCATTCGTCCACTCTTCAACTAGCATTGAGGACACAATGCGCTGGGATCACGTAGCAGTAGATAAAACAACACGTCGGGCTTGTCCTGCTTCTTGTAGCAACAAGCAGCCCAATGGACAGGCATGATCTTCTCGCCTTCATCCCAGCAGACAAAGTGATCTCCTTCGAAGGCTTCTGGTTTGTGCTGAAGAAGAGTCTGGACGACAGATAGTGGGGCCCTGCGGGAAAGTGCCGTAGTCAGCCCCTTTCGTAGTGCTTCTGGTCCTGACAGCTCAAGAATCTGCTGGAATATTTTTTTTGATTCCTTGATGCGATTGATCTGGGGTTCCCGGCATTTTGTCTGCAACTGGCGAATGGCAAAGTCGAGGGGGTACCGGCCGCCCTTGTCTGCCAAGTGCACTTCATGAGGGCGTTCTACAGTCAAGTGGTCAATGATTTGAAGCGACGCCCGCATCTCCAGCGCATAATGCATCAAAGGCTCCATAGTCTCCTCCATTTTTTGGTGTGCCACTGACGGAATGGATTTATATACATCCATGAAGAGCTCCGCTGTCGCTGAATAATCCCAGATGACTTTTTTCTTGATGATGAAACGCAATGGATCCCTGGGAAGACGTTCGATGTACTTGCAGGGATCAGAAGGAGGAAAGAATAGTTTCAAGAGAGAGGAAAGAATTTGCGCCCCTTTAGGGAAACGCCAACGGCGTTCGAACCAAATCTGATTCTCCAGCAGATTATAGCTCCCGCCGTTTAGTGCAGGTGGCATCTTGTAAAAGAGAGCATCCGGATTTTCTTCCGCCAAGTACATCAAACATTCCAGTGGCATGACAACACGCTGGGTGAAGATGTCATGCCGGTGGCTGACTGTTTTCATCCAGCATTGGTGAAGAGGAAGCCACCCATCAATGTTTTCCGTCATCAAACCATTTGGATAGGCATCCACCACATATTCGATGGCTTCTTGGGAGGCGCCCGGGCAAGCCACAATGCAGTGGACTGGCAAGTTTCCAAAGAATCCCTTCTGCTCGAGACCTTTTGGATAGGCATCCACGACAAACTTGACCACGTCCAATGGAGCGGCACGGTCGCAGGCATAGTGGACAGGCAATGCTTTGTAGTCATTGGCCACGGCGAGTCCTTCGGGATACTGTTCCGCAAGGAATTTGACCACAGATAAGGGAGCACCACGACTACACGCATAGTGTAAGGCCAAGTGACCCGTAGCATCCCGCTCTTTGACACAAGCTGGATTCTTCTGGACCAAGTGCATCACCTTGGCCAGCGTCGCAGCGGCTCCACTTCTCACCAACTGGTGAAGCAACAGTCGCTCTCTTCGGTCTCGTCGCTTCTGCGACTTGCTCTTCTGCGTCTTTGTCTCTTGGCTCTTCTTCTTCATTGTTGTCGTGTTGTCTTTGCAATCGGATATTGACAGCAAGGACACGCTCTTCGTCGGCATTGGTGCTTTTCCGCCCTGGCGCCCTTTCCATTTTGGTATTTTTCCATTTTCCTTTTTCCAATTTCATTTGTTTCCTCTTTTAAAAAGCGGGTGTATAGAACGACTTTCGAATCAGCATTCTTGAATGAAATCTAATCACCAGTGAATCCACAGTGGTGTCGGGTTATGGTCAACTTACTTAACGTTTTACAAAAGTCGGCAGGTTTGGGGTACTCCGAATCAAACTCTCTAGCGGTGAGTCTTCTGATTGGTCGAGCTAATGCCAGGACGGAGTATCTTGGATCGTGGACCGGCGCGCTCGTTCATACCAGTGGCGGAAACTGCACAGGCGATCTGATTGGATACGCGTATCGCGCGTTGTTCGTTCATACCAGTGGCGGAAACTGTAATCTGACCAGTGATCGTATTTAATACAGGACATGACGGATTTGAAGGAAGGGCCATGGGATCCAGTTCAATGGGTAAAAGATCATCCGATCCAGCGCAAATTTCTCAAGTTGCACCCAGAGGCGTGGTCGGTTTTAGCTAATAGGCAGATTCCGGATTGGTTCGCTAACCTCAACGAAGATGAGATTTGGTGCCCTGTGGAAACAACGGAGTGGTGGTCGAGTCTTTATGTTGATGGTTACGTTGATTTAAACTAGAAACATGGATTTTATTTCTTAAAACTTAATTGACTAGGGGGTAGACCAGAGTGTGGTATTGCTGTCATGATGTTGCTGGACCAGGCTTTGGAAATAGTGGGGCTGTTTGGTCGGGGCGTTGTCATGTATGTTAGTGAGTGAAGTGCGGGCGTTGTCATGTATGTTAGTGCGTCATTCGCGTGTCATTCGCGTGCGTTCCGAGTATCCGGAAGTTAGTCGGAAGTGCGTCACACGGAACATGGGCTTCCGAGTATCCGGAAGTTAGTCGGAAGTGCGTCACACGGAACATGGGCTTCCGAGTATTCGGAAGTTAGTCGGAAGTGCGTCACACGGAACATGGGCTTCCGAGTATCCGGAAGTGAAGTGGGAAGTGCGTCACACGGAACATGGGCTTCCGAGTATCCGGAAGTGAAGTGTGATTTAATTTTATTTTTTAAGTTGGCATTTAAGGTTCGAAGAGTGCTGAGTGAGGAGTACTTGTTAGATTTAAGCGTTCACATAGGCGGTTCCTAGTGTTCTTCAGATTCTTCGTGTGCATTAGGCTTGAGTTTGAGATGGATATCCACATACAGCTTTCCATGGAGAGTGGCTGGTCAAGTTCTACAGCGTTGTCGTCTAATTCTTGGACTGAGTAATTGGGAAGCCAGTTTCGGACGTCGACTTCTTCATCGGGATTGATCAACAAACACATCTGCAATTGGTTTCGACTATGGTTGAAAGCTATAAAGGCTTCGGTTACAAACTCGCGACGTATGAACTGGACGAAATTCGAGTAATCTAGGAGTGAAACACCAAGGGCGGAGACAAAAAACATTTTCGATATAATGGGTCTGTTAACTTTGGATTTTAAGTTTGAATTTTCGGTTGATAGGGCAGCCTGTGGCATCTACTTTGGGCATGTTGTAAAAGTCCTTCCTTCCTGTCCGGCAATACCAATAAAATTTAGGGAGGTCTTCAAGCTTCATTGATGAGTTTATTTAGTTCACGTCGGGTCTTTATGTCTTTGGCACACGACCGGGCGAGGATAAGGAGGTCTTTATCCGATGGTGACTCAGTGTGTTCTGTTAGGGTTTGGGTTGTGTTTGTGCTGTTTGGATTCTTCTCAGTTTCATTGAAATAGCTTAGAACGAGATTGGGGTGGCTTGAACAGAGCTTAGGGTACGTGGCTTTGAGTTCCTTAATTGTCAATTGTCTAGACTTGAGGAGTTTTTTGAAAGCTGTTAGGTCACTGCGACGGCCTTTAGCATTTGCTTCCTTTGGGTTACCGATCTCCCGATGATCATTCCTTTGAATTTCCATCAACTGGTTGGTTACACTGTCATTGGTTGCGCATACAGAGAAGAAGGCTAGGCCGATGAGACGCGATAGTGTTGCTCTGCGAACTGGAGTGGTGGTTTTGATGTATCCTTGGAGGTAGGGGTTACCTGCTGGGTTGGTCAAAACCGCGAAGGTTATATAGGCTACTTTATCTGAAGAGAGATTAGAGAGGTGGTCAATCGTGGCGATCGTGAACGATGGAATAACGAAGGACCATTGTCTAGCTCTGGGATTCATGCTATTTATTTCGGTTACAGATGGAGAGGGGTGATGGGAGATTGGATTATGGATGCAGAATTGCAACACCTTTCGTGTATCCCGCGCGAGCAGGGGCTAACACTAGAATAAATTGGCGCGGTGGCTACTATGACTGGGCTGCACGGCTATGGCTAGGCTACATAACTATGGCTATGGCTATGGTTGGGCTAATAAATGCATAAGGGGTTACATGACTATGGCTATGGCTACAGGCTATGGGCTATTTGCATAAGGAGCTACATGATCCCCGCGCGAAAACTTGGTTCCTCACTCCCCTGAATAACCAACCCAATCACTGCCTCACATTTTGAAAATGGGTTACTTCAAAATAATCCATGCCTCCGAATTGCGATTCGACGACAATGACACAACTTTGAAAGTACTATGCCAGAAACTATATGACAAACCTTTTAGAACATACATATATCTTCAACCAAACCTTTCTAAGTCTCTGAAATCAGTGAAGGAAAGAATCAAAGTTGAAGACAATACCGCAGTGCGACGGATCAGGCTGAAAGAGTTAGAAAAAGAAACCAAAGGCTTTATCAATCTCAAGGTCAGCTAACAAAAAAATTAATTTAATCAATATCCTTTTTCTCGAAATTCTTTTTGTCAATAGAGGCTAGGCTATGGCTATTTGCATAAGGAGCTACATGACTATGGCTATGGTACGAGCTACTACTATGTGCTATGGCTATGGCTACAGGCTATAGGCTAGTATGGCTATTTGCATAAGGACTACATGACTATGGCTATGATGAGCTACTACTATGTGCTAGGCTATGGCTACAGGCTATGGGCTATGGCTATTTGCATAAGGAGCTACATGACTATGGCTATGGATACGATGCTACTACTATGGCTATGGCTATGGCTACAGGCTATGGGCTATGGCTATTTGCATAAGGAGCTACATGACTATGGCTATGGCTACAGGCTAGGCTATGGCTACAGGCTAGGCTGAGCTAATGGGCTATGGCTATGCTATGGCTAGGTTAATAAATGCATAAGGAGCTATGGCTATGGCTAGGCTAATGGAATAAATAATGCATAAGGAGCTATGGCTAGGTAAGGAGCTCAATCACCGCCGGGCTGGATAAAAGAAGGGGGATGAAGGGTATAGATTGTAGCGGCCTGGTCCACCTTGTATGTAGCGCTCATTTGCCGCGGGGCTGGGATTCCAGCTGTACTGAGAGGGGGAACCGCACTTAATTCTTTTATTTGTTCCTTAAATAAAAAGGGGAATCTTAAATTAAGGGCGGTCCACTCCCCTTAAGTCTTTAAACGGTTTACTATAGAGAAAAGAGTAGGGTGGACCGTGGACCGAGGTGGGGTAATAATGGATTTCCCACCTCGGTCCACAAGATTAGGGATAGGGTTTTTGTTTAGGGATTTTTCATAAGTCTCCACGTTGTGTGGGTGACACGCTTTCAACAACCAGAGCGTGTTAACGTGGAATGCATTGGATGAGGACGAGGAATGGATAAAGACAAAAAAAAAAATTAAAAAAGATAAAAAAATTATTGCTTTCAACAACCAGAGCGTGTTAACGTGGAATGTATTGGATGAGGACGAGGAATGGATAAAGACAAAAAAAATTAAAAAAGACAAAAAAATTATTGCTTGGTTGCTTAGACCTGGTAGATCTTGTGCGAGAACATGTGTTCGATGAAGTCGTAGGGAGTGTTAGATGGGAGGGGACGGTACCAGGGCTTGGTCTTGTCACTAAGGAGTGTTTCATTGAAGCGAATGATAGAGAGAGATAAGGGTGTAGTGACATTGAACGACTTCCCTTGGGATTTGACACTGGGAGTACTTAACAGGGTGGTCTTGACGCGGTCCATGACAATCTCGGCTTCTTCCATTGTTGGTTTAGTGGAGGGAAAGGTGTCTAGGAACCTAACCATGACCCTGATGGCAGCCTTGATCTTGCGGTATCTACATGCCATCCGGTTGTCTACCTTTGGCGTAGACTTGTAGGATCCCATGAAGTTGAATGCAAAGAAATTAACAAACAGAACCCTGGGATCAATATTTCTTGAAACCAGATCGAGGAGTGATTGGAGGGGCTGGACTCCTAGTTCACGCTGAAACGGGGACAGGGAGTACTCTCCACTTGGTTTGGTTGCAGGTGGTGACGCAGAAGAGGTTGGGATGGCGACTGTCTTGTCGATGAGGTTGCCTTTGGTGAAGCGTTCTTGGCATTGCGACTTGAAGTTGTTGAAGTCGGCTGGACTAATATCTTCTCGTGCAAGGCGCTGCATGAGAGTGGCAACAAGGATGTGATTCTTTGGGTCTTTGAATAGGCCGTTGGGTTCTGCCTGGATGTGCTGTACGAGTTGGTCCCATTTGGATAGGACGCACATCAGAAACATCTGCTTGGCTTGCATGCAGAGCATATCATCGGGAATGTGGCCGAAGAAGGCGTTCAAGACCTTGTCACCGAAGGCGGTTGCATTGTAAGGAATGGTGACACGCTGATAATCACCGTTGCTGGCCTTAGACCAGCCTGCAAGGGCTTTTGCACCGTCGAGGAGGTAGGGAAAGGGATTTGAAAAGTATTCTGCACGGCCCCCTTCTCCGATATTCCAGCCACCGAAAAGCTGAGCAGCAATGTGGAGCTTGTTACCATCTAGGTGCCATTGAGCCGTGTGTTTGCCAAAGTGTGATGTGCCTTTTCGTACAGCGGTGTTCTCGGCTGGGGGATACCTCTTCCAAATGGAGTTCAGGGTGCTTGTGTAGTGGGCACTTACGTCTCCGGTTAAAGCTGCAATGGATGGCATCAGAGCTTTGTCATTACGGAGGAACAAAGCTAGACCGATCGCAACGGGAAGGTCACCGAAGAAATCGTACTTGTTTGGAATTAGGGGGTGGTTGTTGTCAACCCCCATCTTGTCGCGTACAATAAAACATTGAAGGGTTTGATTGAGGGGTCCTTCATAAACTTCTCTAACGGAAAGGTTCTGCACGGAGAGCCGAGAGGTTTCAGTGGCTCTGCTGCAAAGTCGGAGGGTGGCTGTCTGGAAGAGGAAGAAATCCAGAAAAGCCTCTGTATTGAACCAGAGGCAACGGATGAGGATGAAGGTGATCTCGGCGTTGGTGTAAACTTTGTTCTTGGTGATGGGGGATTCTTTCTTCCGGTCCTTGACTTTTGCTTTCAAGCACCTGAAGGCTGAGGCGTAGGTTTCTTCAATGACTTTCAGGTAACGTGACAGCATGAACTTCTTTGTCAATTGGTTCTTGATAGACGGCATGTAGCGTTCCAGGGTGCCTACTGCATAGGCGCTTCCATTGGGTTTCTTTAGGCTAAACCAAAAGGTTGGTTGGTCTTTCCAGAACAACAACCACCACTTTGATACATCGTCATCGTTGGTTGAAAAAGCGCCGCCTGTCTCAGTGAGATCTTCGTAGTCGATGCTGGGCAGACCGAGGTGGAGCTGGAGGTTGGTTAAGTAGGGTTGGATCTTAGAGGCGGTGCTGTTGTGCTTTGATTGGCATGACTTGGAAGCCCAAGCGTAGAAGTCAACACGAACATCTTCAAGCGACGATCCTTGAGAGGATTCCATTCGTCAAGGCAGATCGGTGGGAGGGGCGTCCTTTACTAGTCTCGGAAAAGTTGAAATTGTGAGAGGAGTTGCACTCCTTGGAAGGGGGTTCCTGGGGTGGACCGTGGACCGAGGTGGATGAAGGTTGTCAATTATTCGGTGACGGGCTGTTCTGTGGGGTGTCGGGTTTGACGATTTGGTAGCTACGGTTGCTAAGGAGTGGAATCAGAACTCTTGAAACCGTCGCATTCTGTGTTATTAGAGGGACGGTTTAAGGTTAATAACTGTTGATTCGGTTTTGGAAAATGGCGCGAACTGCGTGGATTCACCGAAGTCCGTCTTATGAAGAACTTTCCTCCATCAACACTCTCTATCGTGCTACAGCACTGCTGTACCGGTACCGGTACTGGTACGGTAGTATGGTATACCGGTACTGGTGCTGGTAGCACCGGTACCGGTACAGTCGTACCGTGCGGCGGTAACGCCGGTGAGAGACTGTGACTCAACCTGAGCGTTCCTCAAGAGGGAATGAAACTTGCAGCTCCACCCCAAAGGAGCGGTCGGTGCAAATCCCAGTGGTAGCTCACAAATCAAAGTTTCAACAGCTTTCACAACTCACCTCTAACACGTCTACACGACATCAAAATCAAGTAACTTCCCACCTTATATTCACCATGACCAAACACGATACGATCCTCAAGGCTTTCCTCTCCCACTGCGAGAAGACACCTGATGAGGTGTGGCTCACGCAGCCCATGGGCGGAGATGAAATCAAGACCTTTACCTACAAGCAGGCTTTGGAGGAAGCGCAGAAAATGGCAGGCTACCTTGAATCAAAGGGTTTCGAAAAGGGCTCCAAGATTGCCATCTGCTCCAAGAATTGCGCTTGGTGGGTCATCGCCGACATTGCCAGTAAGTGGATCACTCAATTGTATCCCATCGCATGATGGTGCTGTTTGGTTTTTTGATTTTCGAGGGTTCTCACCATGGCTTCTTTTTTGATTGCCTTCTCTTTCTAGTTTGGATTTCTGGACATGTCTCTGTTCCTGTCTATCCTACCTTGACGGGGGAAACTGTTGCTTACATTTTGGAACACAGCGGGAGTAAATTGCTCTTTGTCGGAAAACTCGACAAGAAACCATGGGACGAAATGAAATCCGGCGTCCCTGCAGACATTGCCAAGGTCTCTTTTCCCTTCAAACCCGAAGGAGATTGGGGTGAGACATGGGGCGATGTGATTGGAAAGACTGAACCCATCAAGGCCATGGTCGAACGTTCAGCTGACGAGATGGCTACCATGTGAGTTATTTTTTGCGTGGCTTTGAATCTTTGCCTGCTTGTTTGATTTTGTTCACCACTCATTTTTAAATTGTTTTTAAACATCAGTATCTACACCTCTGGATCGACTGGAAAGCCCAAGGGTGTCATGCTGAATTTCAAGGGTAAGCTCAAATTGTTGTTTTGAACAAAGTTTGGTGATGTCGTACATGTATCTCATCTATTTTTAAAACATAACAGCCTTGACGGTTACCACTCAGGGCATGGCCAATCTCTACAATATCAATGGAAAGGATCGATACCTCTCCTACTTGCCTTTGTCCCACGCTATGGAGCGTTGGTTCGGAGAATGTTTGCCCATGTACTGCGGAGAAAAGGTCTGGTATGCGGATTCCCTGGCTACCTTTGGGGCAGATCTCGTCCGAGCAAAACCAACAATCTTCATGTCCGTCCCCCGTCTTTGGACCAAGTTCCACCAGGGTGTTTTGACCAAAATGCCAGAAAAAGAGCTCAACTTTTTGATGAGCATTCCTATTATTGGATGGCTTGTCAAGCGAAAAGTGTTGAAGGGACTTGGTTTGGATTGTGTCCGTTTGGCTGGCTCTGGTTCCGCCCCCATTCCCCAAGAACTGTTGGAGTGGTACCGAAGACTCGGACTCAACCTTCAAGAGGGATATGGCATGACTGAGAATTTCAACTATTCTCACTGTTCCATGCCCGGCCGTACCCGCGCTGGCTTTGTTGGAGAGCCAGTCCCTGATGTCCAGCACCGAATCAGTGAGGAGGGAGAGATTCAAGTGTTGAGTCCTGGGTAAGTGATCATCAAGTAGATGGCTCAATGGGGTGGATTTTGATTGAAGGTGTCCCTCAATTGTCAATTTTTTTGTATTGCAGAATCATGATGGGTTACTACAAGAACGAGAAGGCCACCAATGAAACCATGTGTGATGATGGCTGGTTGAGGACCGGAGATCGTGGTGAGATTGACGAAAAGAACCGATTGAAGATCACAGGCCGTCTGAAGGAAATCTTCAAAACCTCCAAAGGCAAGTACGTGTCGCCATCTCCAATTGAAAACAAGCTCAATGTCAGTTCTCGAATTGAGTTGTCCTGCGTGAGTGGTTCTGGTCACCCCCAGCCCATGGCTGTCATTCAGCTGTCCGAGGCTGCCCGCAAGGAGGCTGTTGAAGAAAAGGGACGAACTGCCATTGAAGCTGAATTGGAAGAGTTGATAAAGACAGTCAATGCCCAGGTTGATCCTCATGAGGCTCTGCAACTGTTGGCGATTGTAAAGGATGAGTGGCAACCTGAAAATGGTTTCCTCACTCCCACCCAAAAGATCAAACGCGGCACTATCGAGGATGCCTACAAAGCCAAGTATGACGAATGGTATTGCGCCAAGAAGAAGATCATCTGGTACGGATGGTGAAGCGTTTTGCCTACGACGAAAAAAGTCTGCAACACCAGTGTCTTCTGGCAATAGTGGGTGCAGCCCGGAGTCTCTCCTGCATTTGTTGGCGTGGAGAAATCAACTTCTGGTTATGAGTGACATGCCACGCCACTAACATAGACCTTGAACTAGCAACCAACGAAAAGTTTGATCATCTGTGTCTAGTATATACATGCTTGCAACCCAAAATGATTGGTTGCTGTAGGCATTGGGTTGCCTTCCATTCAGACAGCGAGACTGCCAAAGACCGCTGACTCTGCTCTCATAGCACTCCTTGCAAATCAAGCTCTGTGCACCACTGTAAAATCCAAGCGCAAGGTTCCTATGCAATGTTTTGCTAATGTATTCTCTGTCGTTCTGTGAAGTTTGGGGACCCAGTGTAACGTAGCGAAGTGAAGTTGTTTGCAGTTTTGCCTTGAACGAATATTGGATAGTAGCATCATACATCTCACGCACTCAGGCGTTCAATGAGCTCTGCCTTTTTGCCCGACACCTTCAGCCCCCTTGCCTTGAGCATCTCTTTGAGCTTTGGAACGGTCAGTTTGCTCAGATCCGTACTAGTTGCAGCACCAGACGAAGATGGTGCGGGGCTCTTTACTACCTCGGGTTGTGCAGTGGCTGTCGATTGTTTTTGGGTGGGAATGCTCTCCTCCTCGGCACTATACTGGTCGGTGCTACTTTGCTGCGTGTCGTCGTCGCCTTGCAGCTCGACAGAAAGTGTTTCTCCCAAGGACGCAAAAAAATCGTCACTGTCATCTTCGCCCGAGGTATCCGTTAGAGTGCTTTCCAAGGAAGCAAAAAAGTCTTCACGATTGTCAGACCCCTTGCTGCTGCTGTCGTCATCGGTTGCTCCAAGAGCGCCTCCCAATTCTTTTTCCAAGGATGCAAAGAAATCGTCGTCGCTTGCTTCACTACTGCTGCTCTTCTTGTTCGAGAACAGGTCATCTTCGTCGAATACACTCGAAGAATGGTCTGTTTGTTCGTCACTGTTGCTAGCTGCCAGGGAGGCAAAGAAATCATCCGTGGACAGCGAGGAGGGTGTTTCTTTGGGATTTTTATTTCGGTTCCGCCTGTTGTCAATATTGTCTCCATTGTCATGACCATCATCATCTTCATTGGAGATTTCAGCCACCAAAGACGCAAAAAAGTCATCCTCTTCTTGAGCTGCCTGCTGATTGTTGTTGTTATTGTTTTGGTTGTAGGAATCATTGTCATCGGCCTTGTTGTTGTTGTTGTTGTTGGCATCTTTGGAGAGATCGTTCATGAGTGAGGCAAAAAAGTCGTCTTCCTGGGAGCGTGGCGATGACGACGGAGAAGACGACACATAGGCACTCCAGTCTTGCTGCTGCGGTTTTCGTTCGCGACGTTGTTGTCGCTGTGACGGAGGACGCGCATTGGCAGCATTATCGTTGTTGTTATCGCGTCCACGAGATCCCGGTCGATAGGTGAATTCGTCATCCGACACCATGCCCTCTTTGCTGCGTTGTTGTTCCTTGTACCAATCCCAATTTCGATCTTCCTGTTTCCGATCTTCTGCCGTTCGTCCAAAAAAGTCTCGTCGTTGGTTCTGTCCACGTTCAGTTCGATCTTGTCGTCGATTGCGGAGTCCAGCACCTCCTCGCACACTATCCATGAGATCTCCCCGGTTATCCCCAAATGTCCGTGTGGACTGTCGTCCACCTCCTCGCCCATCTTTGCCCTTGCCACCATCAATGTCGTATTGCGTAATGGGTCGATCGGGACCGGACAATCCTTTGACGACTTCTCGATCGGACAATTTGCGAACATCCCCGGGATTCATCCATTCCTCGTACATGGTCCCGTAGGTAAAAAATCGACAGAGAATTTTGCCATCTTTGAGTCGTCGGACGGTGGCATCTTCGTCGTAAAATTTGCCCCGTTGCGTGACCTTGACCATGTCATTGACGCGCAATCCCAAGAATACCTTGAGGGCATCTTCATCAATGGCATTGGGATCGACCGTATCGGCATCATCGAGAATGACATCTTCTCCTTGTTCGGTGAATTGTGGTGGTTGTTCGTCGTCTTGTTGTTGTGATTCCTTTTCGAGCTCTTCCAATCCAAAATTTTCCACCTCCATTTCGTTCAGTGCGACTAGATTGAAACATAATGATAATCAGACGGAATGATTCAATCAATAATGAGGAAGAACATGATATATCTATGTGTAGCTACGTTCTTACCTGGTAATGGTGGCAGCTTTTTGTATCCCTTGTGATTCACAGTCCCCATCCAGGAACGGCACAAGTCCAATCTGATAATGATGATGGTAGGGGGGGGGGGGGAAAGAATTAGCATAAAAGATGATAAGATAAAAAGGAATCACATGCTGAAATGAATTTAATTCTTCAGGACTCAACTCACCCTTGAATGGCTTCGTAAACTTCGGGACACAATCGTAGTTTCCCAAAGACATATCCTTGATATTTGACTTTGGATTCCGTCACCATACGATTGGCTCCGTGCGAACGGGTTTTGGTCTCGGTCGGTGCGCAAAAGAAAATGGCATCGGGCATATCCTCCGTGGCTTGACGACATTGCGCCAACAAATCCAGTTCCAATCCGGCCACGCAATTAATCAGATACCAAAAGGGTTCCGGATCTTCTTCAATCTCCAATCGATCCCACAGCTTGTTTTCCAACAGTTGAGTGGATGTACTGCTGGTAGTACTAGTAGTGCCATCTCTTGGCGGTAATCGGTTCGAGGGATGATGGAGTTGTCTCGAGAGGGACGTCTTTCTTGGTAGTGGATCCAGAAGAAACCCGTACGATGGTACCCACAACAAGGAGCCCACAATCCATTGCAACCGCCACATTCTGCCTGTTATCATCGTTGCCAATACTATAATTGTACCAAGGAAGAGAGATTCGATTCAAGAGAGTAGTGTGATGATACTGCCACAGCATGCACCAGTACCACCAGTTTGTTTGTTTGGTTGGTTGGCTGCAGAACAAAATTTACTAAAAGAAAGATCTTGGACCTGGGGGTGGTGTCAAATCTTTGGATGGCAGCATCCCGCATTGACGTCAGTTTGCTCCGGAAGAAGGACAGACAAACAAATGGTCGAGAGCCAATCAAAAAGCACAACCGAGAAGAAGGTTTCGCATTGAAAACGCTCCCTCGATCGGGCCAACAAACAACCCAATCGAACGGTACCAGTACCGGTGGGACAGGGGGTAGAGAGTACTACTGTACATACAGCCTGTGCATATGAACAGGATTTTTAGAGAGCCAGCCTGCAGTCAAATTTTGGCCTGACAGGCGACGGGATTCCTGTGCAATTGAACAGGCGACGTGATTCCTGTGCAATTGTACAGGACGGACGCGATTCCTGTGCAATTGTACAGGATCCGACCTCCTGTTCAATTGCACAAGCTTAAGCATAAGAACAAGAACAACTGATCCTTTCACTACTACTACCACCACTACTACCACTATCATATCTGGCTCTTGCATTCATTTGTGGCTTGTGGCTTTGGGTTTGTCACTGAGAGATTTGGACTTCATTTCTCCTGATTTCTTTTTCATTATCTGAGAAGAGGAAAACACAGGAAGTTGCAACCATCTATTCTTTGCAGAGGACATGCTTGACTGTAATGCTGAACATAATGGCAGATCTATGTGTTACAGTAAAAGCCTACCAAGAAAGAAAAAGTCACAATTCCTGTGCATTTGAACAGGATGTCGAGCTCCTGGTATGTACAGCCTCCTGTACATATGAACAGGCAGGCCGTCCATTTCCTGTGCAATTGAACAGGCGTCGCTATCCTGTTCGATTGCACAGGCCGTCCATTTCCTGTGCAATTGAACAGGCGTCGCTATCCTGTTCGATTGCACAGGAAATTGGATGTTTTTGAATTCAGGCAAAAAAAATGGCTGGCCTTGCTCTCAATCTGCGGGCATCCTCCCTGTTCATATGCACAGGCTGTATGTAGTGCTCTGTACCCCCTGTCCCAACTACTACAGTACAACTGGCATCAGGTGGAGCTTTGGCTAGCTACAGCAACGGGCATGCAGGCAGGATGGAGAAGGATCTGCTAGTGAAAGATCACGAGGGTGATGCAATACACGGCTCTTAGCCTTATTCGCGACTCGATCCTAGATAGGGTTTGAGTTCGACTCATGACTGAGTCTCTCGTGAATAGTCATTGAGACAGGGTTCTCAATGACCGCTCTAGTCATACTAGGTTGATGATGAAACATCGCTCTAGATATTTTAGCCAGCGTGGAGTACTTCCACGCCACTAGATAAATGCTAGACGAATCTTCCACGCGTTCCGTTTTTGGATCGTGGAATGAGTAGGATTGCTACGCAACCTACTCTATCACACCTTTACAGTCTCCCGCGGGAGTTCAGATCTACGATCCTTTGGTTGTAATCTCTCTCGTTGATTAGTTTTCATAGCTTTCTAATCCTCCATAACTTTCATTCTCTCAAACTCAAAACACTCGAAAGATCTTTACACTAGCTTTTAGCGTAGGCATTTTGTTAACAAACACAATAGCTTTCAGCTACCCTCAACTATTCCTCACCATGAAGATGCAAAGACGCATACACCAGCTTCGAGTCTAAGCTGCGGCAAAACCAATCCTTCCTCTCATCGACCTAGATGATGAATGCGAAATCGACGATTCTTGCTCTACCACCTACAAACTTCGTACTATTCAGCAGATGCTAACAGTGCCAAGTAAACCTTCAAGGTCCAAATCATTAATGAATCTGAGACTCCACGTCAGACCATAAGTGGGCTGGACGTATGGAGAAGGTCTTCGTCGGGCTTGCATTGCTACGCCTGACGACAAAACATACTCCTCAAGGAGATGACTTCTAGCTCTGCCAAGAGCAGCTACGAATCTAGCTGTGCAGGCCACCGTGAAATACGTTGGAATGCTTGCGCCAAGATTGCAGTCAACGCGATTCCTCCACGCGACAAACGTGGCGGTGAAGACGAAGCCACTTTCCAAGCACGTTTCCAGGCTGCCTGGAAGGAGCAGCTCAGCCTGCTTTGGACGACTGACATTACGTTTGGCATAAATGCCTGTATCGAAGGGTCTGTCCTTACAAGGCTCTTGAAAACAGAAACGCTCATGCGTCGCAAGATGCGTAAGCCTGCTGATATGTCTACTCGGGCTTATGTCAACAACCTCAGTCGGAGAACACCGATGAACTTCCTCGTCTACCACCTTTTGGACCAACAAAACATTGAACCATGACGAAGTCATTGACATTGTTTGTCATGGATTTCCACGCTCGTGGATGAAGAAGATGGACGAACACGACTTCGATCCTTTCTCAGCTCCTATCGGAGAAACATTGGATTCTGCGAACGCATGGAATCCTCCGAAGACTTTGACAAGGGCGGTGATGCCAAGCAAGTCCTCGAAGAAGAACAACAGCAAGAAGTACAAGTCTACTCGCAACAACGACCACTCTTCCAAGAACGAAGAGAAATGGTGCGACTACCACGAGTCCAAGCACTCACAACACTGCTGACTGCATGACTTTGAAGAAGCTCAAGGCCAAGTCTCAGTCCTCGTCTGACAACGATAACAAGCCAACGTACAACAAGAACAAGACTTGGAAACGCAAAGTCCGACGACGCCAAGACCTAACCAAGAAGGAACTCTCTGTCCTCATGAAAAAGGTTTCCAACGCTGCGGTCAAGGCTGATCGCAAGAAGAAAAGCGAATGCAACCATGTTGCCAAGCGCAAGTCTGACAACTCCGACAACGAGGACGACTCCTCTGTTGGATCCATCAACATGATGGACAAGAAGATGGCCGCTGTCGACAAGGCGCTTGCCGAATTCGACTTAATCATTCGGATGGAGAGATCTCCGTCTGAGGATTAGGCCAGATGATGATTCAACGGAACACGTTCCGATTTCTCATACCTAAGTGATGAGATATCTCACTAAATAGTAAACAAGATTTGTTTGCAACTACACGAAGTCTACGGCAAATTAGATAATTGCCTAGTAACTGTCAAATAGACTGACGATCTGTTCAATCGTTAACTTCGTCCATGGCCAATCAACTCATCAACGTCGCACGACAAGAGACCTTGAAACTATCGTCTATGTTAGATTTAACAGACGAGCGAAAGGGAACGAAAACCCGTTACACTCTGTTGCTTACTGGATACAGAAGCATCCGGAACTTTAATTGCTCAAACTCATGCTAAGAGTTTACTCATGAAGAATCATGGGGGCGTCCAAACATTGCGGACTGCTTCTATGAAGGAATTGAGACCCCGCACGAAGAGTAAGGGCACACTCGCGATTCCTGAGTTCCACGATGGTAGAATTATCAAGTGGAATTTACACGTCACCAAGAACTTGGGGGCGCAAGACGAGATCATAGGTCAAACACTCTCTGCGATCTAAGAATAAGTTTGATTTACTACCATGTCATTGGGGTGGAACCATGCATTTTTTCCCGGCGAAAGAGAGCAAACACCAATAGAAAGGAGAACTTCTCCATTTCCGATCTGCAGCTGTCAGCGACAAGTGCAAATAGTTCAAGAAGATTCTTGATACGACGTACGAACAAATAGGCTTAAGGCAGATATGCAGAGTCGAAATCCGTTAAACAAGGAGGAGCAAGAACTGCCTCATTCAACCAAGTGCTTCGACCCAGTCGAAGGATACTTTGGAGAGTTGCGAAGGGACGACTACGAAGTAGAACTTCGTCCCGACGTTAAATCCTATTAACTAGGGCTCACCACCTCCACGGGTCCATACCAACACTCTTAAGAAGGAGGTTGAACGTCTCTCTGCGAAACAGGGGCACTCAGAAGGTGAATCGTTCCAAGTGGGCGGCACAAACTTTTATCGTTCCCAGAAAGAGGGATCTGCGATTCATCTCTGTTTCGGGAACCGAACAAACGGATCAAGCGGAAGCCTTATCCTATCCCAAAAAATACGGACATGCTCTTGAACCGAATGGATTCAAGTGCGCTACAATCTAGACCTGAACACGGGACAATACCACATCGAGCTGTCACCTACTCGAAGCAACACTGTACAATGTCCATTGCACTCCCGAAGGAAAGCACGAGTACCAGGAGGTTGCCAATGGGCCTATGTAATAGTCCCGACATCTTCCAAAGGAAGATGAAAGCACGCATGCATGACTTAGAAAATGTCGTGCATACGTTGATGATCAACTCATCCAAACGGACGTCGATCTCGCAGATCGCGTTGAACAGTAGGATGACCTTTCCCCAAAGACTCCAAGAAGTCGGGATTGAAATCAACACATACCAAGGCCTCCCTCGATAGGAAGAACTGGAGTATCTAGACAATTGGACTTCTCGAGAAGAAGCCAACTCTTAACTAAAACGATAACAGATGCGATCCAGCTATCGCTCTTCCTACCACAAGGAAGTAACTTCGTAGATCATTGACCAATGAACTACCAAGGCTGCTCCACGACAGCAAGACGGAGTAACAATCGTTCTGAACCAGACGGGTTACCCAGTACCCATGACCGGTCGTCATGGACAAGAGAACGTGATCCCGCGTAGAGGTCGAGAAGACTCTCCGGGATGAACATGGACTTCGTCGCAAGTTCACGCGCGTCAATCGGTACAAGATTCACACATCCGTTTCAAAGCAAACCGAAATACATCAAGGAACGTCGCCAACGACTTATCCAGAAAAACACCGATAAGGAGAACACGGCACGTGTCCTCATCAACCCATGTCAACGAACTATTGATGATTCATCAGTATCAGAACCGTTAAAACGGTCAGCCAACGCACAAGGTCCTTACACACAGACCGAGTCAATACAAATGGCACTGTACGGCTCCGACATCTACCGCAGTAGCGGCACAGTCTACCAGACTTGGAACATAAGGTATTTACACCCATACAAGGCCTGATCCCCTTGTAGGATTGCCATCGTGCGACGCACATGTCTACACCAATCTGAGAGTGCCCCGCACTTTAATTCATATGTTCTCCTTGTCCGACTGATGTCGTGCCTTCCGTGACCTTGTCAGGGGGCGAATGCATACACGGCTCTTAGCCTTATTCGCGACTCGATCCTAGATAGGGTTTGAGTTCGACTCATGACTGAGTCTCTCGTGAATAGTCATTGAGACAGGGTTCTCAATGACCGCTCTAGTCATACTAGGTTGATGATGAAACATCGCTCTAGATATTTAGCCAGCGTGGAGTACTTCCACGCCACTAGATAAATTGCTAGACGAATCTTCCACGGTTCCGTTTTTGGATCGTGGAATGAGTAGGATTGCTACGCAACCTACTCTATCACACTTTAGTCTCCGCGGTGAGTTCAGATCTACGATCCTTTGGTTGTAGATCTCTCTCGTTGATTAGTTTTCATAGCTTTCTAATCCTCTCATAACTTTCATTCTCTCAAACTCAAAACACTCGAAAGATCTTTACACTAGCTTTTAGCGTAGTGCAGTGATAAACAAGCAGAAGCCACGGCAATGGCAAAAGCAACACAAAAAGAGATAGCAATTTTCGTCATGCCGAAACCAACAGATGGATATTCTTGATAACGCCAACAACATTTCCAAGGCAACGGTGACTGGCAATGATGTCACAAAACCAGAAACAGTTGACTCCACTTTAGAGAAAGATGGCATTATTTTAAAAGAGACCCTCTCAACCAACAAAGAGGAGATGCCTGTGCCATTGGACTGTGAGGCAGCCACGGTATAGCAGCGTCCACAGTGGCAGAGCCTTTGATATTGCAGAGGGATGCGAGACAGCAGGTATCTCGTCCTGGACCGTACATGGGAGCACGAGGAGAAGATTTGCAACGCACAACAACTCTGAATTATGACCTGATCCTTGCTGGGATGGACAATTCTACACCCATGGAAATGCCCCATATTGCTCACAGTACCGTTAGTAGTGGTGCGCAACTGGCACGAGCAAGTCTTGTAGAAGATAATGGCGACACTGGCAACTTTATGCATGCCAATCCAGTCGATCTGGAAGCTGCTCAGCGCCGGCAACAAAAACGGAAGAGTCAACAACAATTTGGAATTGCCGCACTGATTTGGTTGCTACTTGTTGTTGCCTATATTGTGGCGTTCGTGGCTGGAACCCAAAAACAAAAAGAGCCAGAGGTTATCATCATCTCCACAGGGACACCCACTGCCTATGGTTCCATGGAACCTTCCGAAGTGCCATCATCTGCCCCCACAGGTGTTCTTGATTGGTTTTTGGATAACCTACCTGATCACACTTTGGCCAGCATCAACGATGGCAGTGAAACCCCCCAATGGAAAGCATGGAATTGGCCTGCCAATCATCAAAATGTCACATTTCTTCCAGAGTGGAGGAAAATGCAACTCTTTGCCCTTGCTGCGTTCTTTTATGCTTTTGAGGGAGAAAATTGGAACCCTCTCATAAAGGAGCGATGGATGGATGAAACAAAGGGGGAGTGTGAGTGGTTCTCCAGCGGATTTGGGATTTTCACGCCCAGCGGCTACGTTCCAATGTCACACTCCTCAAAAGCTGATTCATGTGATGGCCATGGGCAATTCACCTCTCTTTGGCTATCGGGCCTCCACCTTTCCTCTGGTTTGACACCTGTGGTTCCACCCGAGATTGAACTCTTGACTTCCCTGTCCCGATTTTCTGTGGAAAATATTGATATTGCACTGACATTGTCTGATATGCTTCCAACTACATTCTACGAAATGTCTTCCTTAGCTTCTTTGAGCTTTTTCCGGGATCAGCTTCAAGGCAGCATTCCTACTGCATTTTGAACACCTCGTTGCTTCAAAACAACTCCCTTACAGGAACTCTTCCCCAGGAACTGAATTCCTCTGGTTTTATCGAACTTAGACTTGAGGGGAATGAATTCTCAGGGATCATCCCAGAACACCTTTGTTCTTTTCTGTGGTGTGATTATTGTTCCACACATGATTCTTCTCCTGTGTCAACCTGTGTGGACTTGCAGGAAATCCCAGGCTGGCCAGGAAGGTTTCCACCCATGTGTTTGGAAAGATGTACCAACAACATTGTGCTCAACATACAAGTTGATGCACATCCCAGTCTAATTTCTTGGGGTTGGCAGGAGAAGACAAATGTGACTGGCGTTTGGAACCAGCAACTAGAAGGATCGAGCAGGATTCCCTTACCTCTGTTTTTCGTGTACTCCTTCATTCTTGATGTTACCCCAAACACAGCATATCAGCTTGTCGGTTCTGATCTTGTTGGTAATGGTCTTTCTGATGGAGACCCATTCAATCCCAGTTTTGAACCCGGAATGTACCCAGGTTGGATTGCACTGACTGCAGCCAATGAAACAGTACTCTTTTCCTTTGGCAATGATGCTTTCTCTGAATTGATGGTGGTTGTTTTGGTTGGACCTGATGGGTCTGTCCAAATCAAAAATACCACGACTGTCTGGAATCCATGCACTTTTACTGTTGCAGGACTAGTAGAATGCGATGATTAAAGGATTCTATTTATAGACTGTGCCTCTTACCGCAACAAAGATCCCATCAAAGTTTTAACCCAACAAGAACGCGACAAAATTTCCAAATATAAAGATGCGTGCGAGTCCAATCGCGCTTCCTTCCACCCCTTTGTTGTTTCAGTGGATGGCATGCTTGCCCCTCAAGCCAAGACTCTCTTACAACGCCTTGCTTCTGCTACTGCCTCCAAAACTCAATTTTCCTACTCTCAAATGATGTTCTTCATGCAGACCCGTATCTCAATTGCCCTTGTGAAAGCTACCCATTTATGTCTCCGTGGATCCCGCAAAGCCAAACCCTTTGCCCCCTGTAATGGTCCTCAATTTCTTGCCCCTGATCCCACAGAACCTAGTCCTGAATTTCGACTGTTCTTTGCTTAAGCCTGGCCCCGGCTGGCTTCCGTAGATAATTTCCCTACTCTAAAACCCCCCTTATATATATTCTATTTATACCCTCGGTTCTACCGGCCTGCCCCAATCTTGCACTGTGAGTGGGCCTCTTGCCAAAGAAAATTGTAGTGGATACATCATGGCGTGCATCATCATTGCTGGAGCTTGATGCTCTTGCATGGGCATGACTGAGGCGCGGTACCCCTAGGTCGCTGAATCTAGTACCTGCACTACCGGCCAATTGTCCATCTGTTATTACTGCGATGGTCCTAGTCCTCCAACCTGTACGCAATTGAAGACGTGGGCATCCTGCATCATACCAAGGGCGCCAACATCATATGTCCCTTGGATACAAGGAGGGGTGTTGCCTGTATACGGTTGTCCCGCGCTAAAAGGCTATAATAAAGGGGGGAATCATGCAGGCCACGCCACCCACATGCTCAGTTACTTATCCACTATCGCACTATTGTACCTCCAACCATCTGGACCCCAAGCAAACCTACATTTGGATGGACTGTGTCTGTATCAACCAGCACCGTGTGGTCTCGGAGCTCGGAGAAAACGGGAACGGTTCCTGCCAATGAACTTGATCGCCATTTGGACGGATCGTGTCAAGTGGATTGGACATGTACTGGCCATGGTAACACCCTGGAAGCAACCAGTCTATACGACAAGAGCTTGGTGCGTTTTGGAATTCCTCACTGCCCATACTATACTGTACCAGGCAGAAGAAAGCTGTGACGCCTTGTTCCATGCTCGTGTCCCCCAAAGAGGTCAAATAGACACCCATGGTTGGTAACAACAAATGCACGCCAACAATTCGCTCCTGTTGATAGCTTTTGCGAGCTAACGGGTGGGTCTTGGATTGTGTCGCTCCCTTGTCGCTTACAATGCAGGAATCTAGCTAGAGTTTCAGAGATTGGCTTGAACGTTTCCTTACTGAGAATCTTGCTGGAACGAAGATTGCTCTATGGAACTGATAGATGAGGAGAACCACTGGTATATACCGTTCGTTGCCTGCTTGAGAAACCGCTTGTTTGGACCTGGAGGCATCGACTACGAGTACTCTGATAGCCAGCTGGCAGAGGGCCTATCTGTAGTGGGCCTCAGCCTTATGCTGAGGCGAAACGAGAGAAAGGACATGTAGTAGATCCAGAGGAGCTCAGTGTCTTCAAGTTTAACATAACTTTAGTTAATCTATTAAGCAAGCTAGCTAGTCTTCTCTAATGAGTTCTGCAGTTCAGTTGGAAATGTGGCCTGGCTCTTAGGGACGCAAGCTACCATAGCTGTCCGTAAGCAGCAACCAGAGTGGTTGCAAGGACAGCCAACTTTCAGGCATCAGCCAAAGAATAGATAGATTGCTGTCTGGCTAGACTAGTCAGTGCCCTCACTTGTTCCGACAAACCAAAGAACCTTGCGTTGATCGCACTCCTGGTTATTCCACTCCCAAAGACATATTTCCAGCGCCTTCTTTTTGGTGCCAATCGGTTCTTCTACCACTCGCCCAACGTCATCAGGGGAGTACTCCTCATCTTCCTCGTCTAGAGGATCGTTGTCACCATCCACTAACTGGGCCAAACCCCAGTTCACGTTAAAATCCATTCCATGAAAGGCAGCAAACCTTACAGCCAGGAATAGATTCTGATCGATGCACTTGCCACAGAACGTTCGAAATGCGGATTGTTTTTTCTGATGATTCAGATTGACGCGATAATATTTCTCAATGGCATTGCCACTTTGGGCAGCAGCACAAAACTGTCCATTGACACAAGTATGTTGTTTTCGTTTGCGCTTTTTCCTTTTCTTGTAGTTGTCTTCCTCCTCCTCATCAGCATTATGAAAGAACTTCATTCCATTCTCCATTTGTTCGTTGATTAACAGACCCTCCCATCCCTCTTCGAATGATTCATTCATGTAGAACGTCAAACTAAAATCCACAGCGTCCGCCATGGCTTCCTTGACAGATGGATACACAGCATCGGCGATACGATTCCAGGTGTGTCGAACCAAATAATAGTTGCCGGACCGAATGAAAGGTTCCATCTCCTTGATTAAGGGTGAATTTTTATCGACGGCTTGGATTGCTCTTAGAAATTCCAACTCTTCCAGCGCTTTCCAATCGGTGGTTGCCACCACTTTTTCCTTACATGCTCGCAGCGTTCGACTGGTGCAAAAGAGCTTTTGACGATCGTGAAAGGAACAGAATTCCCAAATGGAATGTCCAGCATTGGAAGAAAGCAGGTCTTCTAATGGCATAGTTTGGGCGGCAAGAGCCTTTGCAGTGGACATGCTACGCAGTATCATGGTCAGATTGCAAAAGAGGACTGATTGGAAGCTACTAGGAAAAATAATAGAGGTACCGGTACCGGTACTGGTATGGCAGAAGGACAGCTTTGGAGGTCGCGAAGCATGTTCGCGCCAAATTTTGAAATTGGACGCAAGCATGGCGTGGAAGACGGTATCATCACGAAGATATCATACAGCAGTAGAAGCAGCAAGCAACCCACCAATCTGAACAAAGAAGCAGCAACGATGCTGGTCACGAACGGTGTTAGGGATAGAGAGGCAAATAGAAAGGCAGGGTACCAAAGCTCTCCTCAAGTCTAGCTACTAGTAGGTAGGTACAACGTAGACGGAAGATAGAAGAGTAGTTTTGATTTTATTATGCTTTGGAATGACATATTGCAAAAGAGGGCTGATTGGAGACAGCGAATCATAGTGGCATCAAAGGAAAGCGGTTTGGAGAGTTCGCGCCAAATTTAGTAATTGTACAATTGCATGGCGTGGAAGATGCGCCACACCACAAAGCAGGGTCAAGCAACGGTCAAGCAACTAATGAACAACGAATCGGCAACGGTGCTGGTCATGCAAGTTGGCTTCACACATCGGTTTAAAATGGCCAAATCGCGACATAAGGTCTGGCCGTGGTATGGCACTTTTGAACGGATATATTTGGGAGAGCACTGACGATTCGAGTGAATTGAACTCACTCGCATTGCATGTGTTCAAGGATCCTCGAGTCTGCTGCAGTTACCGGTAACCGGAGCATGAAACCATGATATTGAGTTGCCTGGAGCCTCTCCAACATTCCCACCATTGTTATCTCTTCTTCTTGATGCTATCTATAGGACAAGGCTGAGAGGCTGTCTGGCCAGCAGGCTCGTATTTTTGAAGATATTAGGCTGCCATGACCGTCGATTCAAAAAAACCAAATTTTGGTTGGAGACGCTGTTCCTCGGATTTTGGCTGTAAAGGAGGGACTTGCTGGGTTGCTTTTTGTCTCACAATCCATTGGCATCCACTGTAATCAACTGTTTATCATGACCTACGACTTCAAGACAAAAGATGGCGGTATATTCTCCGCCTCTTGTCGCAGACCAAATCGTTCGTCACTGCGTCCAATCAATGACATGGAAGCATACAAGACGAGGATTGCAAAATGCATTGCTCATGCAATTCGCAAGGAAAGTGATGAGGTTCTTATCTGGTACTTTCAGAACAGCACATTCCTTGCCCCAGAGCAAGCCATGGAGCTACACGACTTCCTTTGTGGACAAGACAACGTTGAAACAACTTATGTTGCGATGGATAGGCTCAGCATTGTGATCAAGACTTGCCACGGGGTGAAGCTTACTCTTGTACTTGTCTGCAAGTTTTCTCGATTCTACGTTGAGCGTCCTCCTAAAAATGCTGGAATGAGTGCTGTGATCACTGAATTGGAAACACTTCCCTCTTTCCGGAAAGAGGCACCACACAATACTGTCGCTGACACCCCCTCTGTTGTGGATCTATTGTCACCAAGCAGCATCGCAAACTCCGAATTCACTCTAGAAACAATGGATTGAATGAGTGGATATTCAATTGCCACTGGAGAGCTCTATCATTGTGTTTGCTGGTTGCAACCGTATCTCAAACCACTATAAATGGCGTTATTTTACAGCATCAGGTGTGAGATACAGCCGCAATGAGCAAAGTGCAGGTTCTAGAATGTGGAAACTGTGTAGTTGTAATACTGTAGTATCCCATCCAAAACCTGATACTATATCGTTGTTTAGGAAACTACCAGATTACAATGAAATACTCTCCATTTCTCGGAACAGAAAATATCGCAATCGATGCTTTGATCAAGCATTAAACAAACTCTGACTTGACCTTGAATACAGCACCGATATCTTCATCTTCATTGAAGGGCTTCCTCCAAGATGAAGGTACTCGACCACAAACCAGATAGTTGTAGTAATCTAACCACTCGATCTTGACAATGGCTCTATTGGTGTCGACAAAAGCCAACCCTTTCGGAAGAAGACTCTCCTCGGTTGGATTGCAGATGGGAGCATCATCGTGTTGTCGTGTTTGGTGTGCGACTTTGTATTTGCTACCGTTGGCCAGCTTTCGAGGTCCTTTCTTCCGATTGTCTTGAAGCGCCGTTTTTTCTGTTTGATATTCACTGTTGAGGCCGAGGGAGAATCGCTGGACCGTCTTCTGGACTTTGCCCTCTGTTGATACCATGCTTCGCAAGTGGCTGCTAATGGTTTGGGCTCTTGGGTGGGTAGCTTCAAAGCTCTCCTCATTCACCAACCCAATCGTTCCATGCTCCTCAGCAAAGGATGCTAAATGAGCAATCAGCGTGTGTAGCTTGTTGAACACAGTCTCTTTCCCTTCAATCATTGTTGTCCACTGCCGGCCGTATTCGATCGAGCAATGCTTTAGACGTGCGATTTCCTCAGTGGACAGCTTTGATTGTCGTTTCAGGATTGCTGACAGCTCCAGCAGGAGCTTTGCCAGGCTCCGCCACATTGCCATTACAGTCTTTACTTCCGACTGGAGGTGTGTCTCCTCTCCGAAAGCATACGCTTCTTCCACTCGCTTTGCAATAACCTCGTATTTTGAAAGCACTTTGATACCATTAGCATTGGTCAGTTCCAAGCCCGAGTGCTCCACATTGAATCGAACTCCGCCATCAACACAAAACGACTGATACAGCAAGTAGCTGGCCTCTCCTTCTGGCTTTGAGCCGGAGTCTTTAATGAATTGGTTTCCGTTTGACGAGAGCTCTGTTGCCGCTTTTTGAACTGCTGCCCATGCCGCCATTCCTGATTGAATGCAGTGCTGCTCTCTTTCAGCCTGCAATATAGCAGCACGTTCGACTTGGGAAGGAACGTTTGACCACTTCGATGCGGCTTCCTTCTGTTTGTAGAGGGCACGATCCTTTTGGTGCATGTCCTTAATTTTGTCTTTGATCTCAGTCGTATCGCTTGCATCCTTGACAACCCCTTTCAGCTTGCGAAACCAATCGGCCTTGCGATCGATCTGCTCTAATAGATCAAAGGTTCGTCTTGTGAGATGCGTCATTATCCCCTGACAAACATGCATTGATCCTGCCGTATTTTGTAGTGGTGGTGTTAACAGTAGTGGCCGACTGACAACACTCTTCGCTTTTCCCTTAATACTCATCGAGGCTGCTGATGAATCTGCAGCCACCTTTGAAGCTCTTCCGCCCGCCACTTCCACGAATTTGTTGTATAGTCTGTTGTTGTGATTTGGTCCCTCGCGAAGGGGAGCTTTGAGCCCATGCACGCATTGATTGAATTGATCGCTTGAAGCAATGCAAATGGGGCAAGGATATTTGCTGGCAGCCGTGCGTTGACCTGACACGGCAATGTTAAGCTTTAGATCGTCAGCAGTAAATGGACGACATGCATAACAACGAACCTTCACTTCAGCAGTGGATGGCACAAAGAGTGTGGATGTGAAAGGGAGGCGACCGACAAGTACTTGAGTCGAGCCACGTTGATAAAGTTGGATGCCTGCATATAGTGTCCTATCAATCTCATCGCCATCCCCGATATCTTCGTTCGAAAGCACAAGTCTGACCGCCAAGGAGCATCTTCTAACCTTGTCAAGCAATAAAATCTCTGGCTGTTTCCGTGTTGATGCGTCTTGGATAGCAAGAGAGAGCTCGCGGTGGTCTGCATCGGGCAAAATCCGTTCACAGATATCATCGATTAAGATCTCATTCTTCGCATACACCGAAATGCCACTGTACTCGACAACCAAACATTGTGCATCGATAACTTCGCCGTCGTGACATGCTGATACCACCATCATGTGATATTTGCCATCAAGCAGTCCCTGAAGGAAGGGTTGGACTGGCTTTGTGGACGGACTTGAGTTGTCGTATATTGTCCTTGCCAAATTGCTGTATGATTCTCTGCCATCTTCATAGAAAGCTACTGGAAAGCAAAATTGTGGAGCATTGCCATCCAATCTATTGGCAATGCGCATCAAACTGAGCGTCATGTTCCCTCCCTTATCACATCCTTGGACAACAAGGACCTCAGCCTTGTGGGAAGACAACAGCTCCGACTCTTGAAACTTTCCAGCAATGAGCGCACTTCGAGTGAGGCCTTCGATGATCACCGGTGGGTTGGATATCTATGCGTGAACGCATGGTTTCATTTTCCCGTCACCATTCATCTCCAAGGAGATAATCTCAAAGCTTAACTCAACATCGAGTGTGCACTTTTCAAATTCAGAGATGCGACGGCGCAGCTGCTTTGGGAATAGAAGATTTGAGAGATACGGAGCATAGTCATGGAGCGCATTTGCAAGTCTCTCAAGCCCTCTTGTTGATGTTGGCACATAATCGCGATTGCTTGGGCAATCTTCAAACCTGACAGTTGAATTGGAAGCACCGCGATTTGGAATTGCTTGCCGACGTTGGCCAAAACTACTGGCAGAATTCGATTCACACTGGCTCCATAAATACGATGAAAGAGACCAGAAATAAGAGATGTTTGCCTGCACAGTTTCTTGTTGACGGCACCCTTGGAGATGATGTGATCGCAAGCTCGAGTGTTTGGGACTTTGAAATAGGTCTGTTGCCCATGTCGAACTGATAGACGAGCATAACTCTTATCTTTCTGTTGGATATGCAATGCAGCAAGTGTGTCGAAAGCTTGCTGTTGAAGCTGTCTGCCAGGATTTCTTGCTATGATCTCACTTTCAAAGCTGAGGCATGCAATTGGTTCGGTTTGGGTGCCAACCGATTTGGTCGACAAACTAACAGTCTGAGATTCCACAGAGAAAGTTGTGGCTGGATTTCCTTTTGAAGGTGACTTGAATAGACGTCCTGCTTTGAAGTTTGGCGTTGTCAAGTAGCGATAACCTCTCTTGTGAGGTGGGGATGCAAATGCTGGAGAAAATGCTGGAGAAAAGACATGATTTGTTTGGTCGATCAACGGAGGCACTTTGCTGGGTGTCTCTGTCTCCGCCTCGCCGCTGTTCTTCGCTCGACGCTTCGCCATTGCGAAGGCATAATGGCCAGTCTATCATCTCTATTCTTGCATTGCTTCACTCAAAAGTCGTGGCCGTGCCAATGATTGGCATTGGCATTCGCACGTCCAAAAAATCAAAACATTGATTCAAATGAGAAAGCATGGCCAAAACGATACGGCAACCCAACCCTTCACTCTCTGAAGACTCCACGCCCCTATGACAAACGCAGAATGAGCGTTGCTACAGTATCAAAACAACATCATTGCTCATCTTCACGAAGGCAATACAACCTACTATCAGTGCTATTATACGGCCGTATAGATGTTGTGTTGATAGTTGATAGATGGCTGGTATCCTGCACCCTAATGCGTAATCCCACCTTCAAATCAAATGAAAAATCGTTGTAGCGACGGCCAGACCTTATGTCGCGGTTGAACCGATGTGTTCATCAGCACGAACGGTGTTAGGGATAGAGAGGCAAAGTGAAAGGCAGGGTACCAATGCTCTCCTCAAGTCTAGCTAGGTAGTGTACCAGGTAGACGGCCCAGAGAAGCAAAACAGAAACACCCTAAAGACATTAGAGTAGTTTTTGATTATCGTTGAATTTCTCATTTCTATATTCTAGCTAGCAAGCAACCAGTCATCAGCCTTGATAACCGAGACGGTGAATGGGCTAGTACTTCCTTTAGTATTTTCTCATGGCGCGCAACACGGTTGCAATTTGGTGCACGGTTGGCTGTTGTGGAATCTCGCGATTTAGTTCTGTGCCTGGTCGGCCCCTGTGACGTTCGTCAAGCTCGCGGTGCTTGCTGTGTTTGTAGTACTTGCCGTTGCTGGCACGTTGTTGCGCTCTGCGTCAAGTAGGCTTGCCGTGTCGTCGTCGGCGTTGTCATTTTGATGGTACGGGTTGCTCGAATCGTGAGGGTTGTCGGCTTGCAAGTCTCCATCACTTTCCTCACCAGCAGTTTGAAGATTGTCAGTGGGCGTCACGTCTTGGTTGTTTCCATTCTCTGTTTGAAGAAGAATTCGTGCTGGACTTCCAAAATTTCGATCACTGTTGACATGGCTGCCATCCGTTAAATCGGAGGGCGTTGAATGAGAATAGGCCACGCTGCCATCATCGTTTCGTTGAGCGTCTTCGTTCGAAACTATCACCTCGCTAGTACCGGATTCAAACCGTTCCTGAAGCTGGTTTTGTGCTCGACCTGTTCGCCCAACTTGCAGTCGTTGTTGTGTGTATCTGTCGTCGAATTTCTGCTGTTCTTCAGGGGTTAGAAGTGAGCACAGTCGAAGTACTTCAGCCACGGTTACACTAGTATCTGCACAGCGATAAAAAGATGAAAAGGACCAACGGTCAGAAATCCCACGGACCAACAAAGCCAAGGCGAGGAAAGATCAATAACAGACAAGTCTAACGTTAAATCGCCGTCGCCATCGCGGAACTCACCATGTTGATCTCCAGAGGCATGCTGAATAGCGTTGCTGCTGTTCATGTTGTTGCTGTTGTTCCTGATGAGCTGAACGAACGTCGAAACCAAGAGAAAATGAGGACAATGAAATGAATGCAACAGCTCCTAGCAAATCAAAACGACTTTTGAAAGTAAAATCAAAAACAACTTTGCAGAAATCAAAATGAAATCAAAATCAAAATGGCTCTACATGTACAAGCAATCTACCCCGTCGTACCTTTGTTGTTTCCAACCCTTTTGTGACATTGGAAGCTCTTCGGGTCTCACCAGAGCATGCCGTCTCCGTATCATCTTCGTTCTTCATTGTCACAACAACAATTCCTTCCTCAACAGTGAGCTTGGGTAACAAAACAACAGCAGGAAAGTTTGCTGTTTCCTGCAATTTATGCCACTTCTACGACGTAGTCACCGCCCACAATCCTCTTCACTGCTTCCTAGTCCGTTTTCCTAGCATGTTTATCGGTCGCCGAGACAGACAAAACGCTGCTGTGAAAACAGTTCTTCAATTCCACGCCACGCTGTGCCGCCTTGCTTGCAGGCTTCGTGCTCGTTCTGCGTCCTCTCACTATTTTCCCAACGGATCGGACGAGCAGCTCTTCTAGCCAGTATCGAGCAGCAATGCAAGAGCTAGCTAGTTTGTACATCGGAACTCCCATACAGGTGAGGGAAGCGATGCTAATGCGCATAGCAACAAGCATGAGGACGGCAATTATCTATGATTGTGAGTTCTTGACCGCCCAAGGGGCGCTGAAGAACAGTTGGTGGGGGCTGGAAGATCCCGATCCGTTGGTGGTCCAAATCGGGGCCGTCAAGATTGGCTTGGATGACAAGGCGCTACCGATTCAGGATACATGGCAAAGATTCATCAAGCCGGTGGACCGGCACAATCAACAAGTTCCATTGGATCCCTACTTTGTGGACCTGACTGGAATTACGCAGCAACAGGTCGATGAACAAGGCGTGTCCCTGGAAGATGCATTGAATGAGATGGCTGGATTTGTTGGTAATGACATGTGTTGGGCATGGGGAAAGGACGAGTTTTATGCATGTGCCGTCAGTTGTTACGCTGTCGGCATCACTCCTCCAATTCCCATGAACCAGTTTGATAATGCCAGAAAAATTTTGGCATTGGCAGGGATGCCGCGGGAGGATCTTGTCACCACCAACAGTGGAAAGCTAGCGTCGTACTTTGGAGTGGCAGATCCAATCAGAGAGCACAATGCTATCGATGATGCAAAATCTATTACACGTGCCTTGCAACATTTATCCCAGGAAAATCGACTGAATCCTGATTGGTTGACAAAGCCTCTGACTTCCTTGAACTACCCAACTAATTGAGCACACTGGAGTTCTGCAGATCTAGCTAGATCTAATCTACCGTTGATAATAGCTATCTTACAGGAATGATACCGTTTTTTGTTCAAATTTCTGGTTGCCGAAAGCTTATAGAGACAGAGCCCTCGAAGAGAGGAAGAAGGGAAGCCTTCCAAGCGCAACCCTGGGCTTGAGGTCAGCATAGAGTACCTAGATAGCCATCTGCCGGTAGCCACTCAGAGGGGATGATACCGAGACATCTTCTTCGCTCGTTGTGTTCTGGACAGAGCTGCCAGTAGTTGTCGTGAGTAGCCAGTAGCAGTCTGTTTTAAAAAAACTGAACGTCTAATAACGGATTCAGACAAGATGTGCTTGAGGACGACCCACGAGCCGAGGCCCGGGTATTTCCCACAGTTGAGTCTGCTCACCCGCCACACTGGCCTCCTGAGAGGGTGGTCATCGATACTCTTGTAGTGTGAAGATTGTTTCCGACGGAGCAAATGACAGCAGACGACGAGCTCTTCCCTTGCGACTGTCGATGCGGTAGGTTTGTCTGATACTGGGTAGTACCGGTATGGGTGTTCCAAAAGTGTTGCTCGGTGTTGTGGGCCGGCATTTTATCCCGGATCCTCAACATAATCATCTTTGCAATCAAAGTGGCTGAAGTTCTAGCTAGATGTACCGGTACCTCTCCCGGTCAACCACTTAGTTTATCGCGAGAGAGTCGATTCTTTCACCTGTGTATTCGATTCATCCATCCCACTGGCAAGTTCATGCTGAGGCAGAGACGTCCTTGGTCACTCTGTCCCTTTGGCTTGTGTGGCAAAACCTCGTGATCCGACCACCTACCCTACCGGTAACTCGTGGCGTGGAAATGCCGAGGAAGATAAAAGTACGCAGCGTGGATAGTAAGAAGCACGAATGATTGTCAAAGTTCAAATTTGGCCACCCTCCAAGCCCAAAATATCGAATAAAACTCCGTTGACATGATGTTGAGGCATGTATGTATGTATGTGAGGCAGAGAAGCGCCGAGGCCAATAATGGAACTGCAGTCTATCTGTGGAGCACGAGAGCAACGATTGTACAAAAGACGATGCGGTAAAACACAAAAGTAGCTTGGACAACCATCCATGAGCGAGCACTCAGAGTTTGAGCAAGAGGGGACTTTGGGGGCAACAGAAGACTATCAGAAACATATCCAGATTCTCAAGGCCGAGGAGAAATCCAAACGACGGCGATATGGCTTTCTGATCATTCTCGTATCGATACTAGCCATTTGTCTTCCGTTGATCTTGGTATTGACCACACGAAACAAAGACAACGGCGACGGTAGTCAAAGCGGTGGAACGGTGACAGCAACGACACGTGATACCCCGAATGCATCACAAGCTTCCAGTAGTGGCAATGGCAACGACAACAACAATCCATTCAGTGTGGGAGACTTTACTGTAGTGAATTCCTCTTCTTTCACTATCAACACCAATACATTCCCATCCAAAGAGCACTTGAAGACCATTTTGGAGATGCAGTTCCCAGAGGCATTCAAGGATCCCTTTTCGTATCAAAACAAGGCCGTGGACTGGCTACTGAAACACGCAAATACTTCCACACCCTCCTCTCGAACGATTCTGCAGCGCTATGCCCTGGCATGCCTCTACTTTGCCACCAATGGAGTTGCCAATGCCCACACCACGAGGTTTTTTGGCTACGTGATTTCTGCCCCGGCTTGGGTGGTCGAGACGGACTGGATTGCCAACAACAACGAATGCACGTGGTACGGAATCAACTGTACTGCGGATGGCCTCGTGTCCAAACTATCCATGCGAAGGAATCGAATGACAGGAAGTCTCCCTACCGAGTTGGCCTTGTTGGGAGAGTCGCTGCAAGAATTGGATCTGTACGGCAATTACTTTCACAATGTCGGAGAGGAAGGACATGCTTGGTTGGACGGAATGAAGCAGTTGAAAGTGCTCGTGCTGGGCAATACGCTGCTGGAACACAACAATGGCATTCCACTGGTATTTGGACAATTGACCAATCTACGAGACTTTGATTGTTCCAATGTCTTGTACAGAGGACCACTTCGGGGAGATGTCTTTGCCAATCTGTCGCAACTCGAATGGCTCAATATCGACGACAATCAATTCGGAGGACCTCTGCCACAGGAACTGATTCAACTTCCCACATTAGAGCTGTTGCATGCCAATAATGCTTCCATTGTCGGTGACATTTCCTTTGTACGAGACCTGCCGGGATTGAAGATTCTTTGGGTGGATGACAACCCCGGATTGACGGGTGATGCAGCGGCACTGGAGGACGTGACCACCTTGGCATCACTGTCCGTCAAGGGGACCAATATTTACGGGTCCATCCCGTCCTTCCTCTGTCATGGTGACAGCGGACAAATCTATTTTGATTGCTCGGCCCAACTCTGTGGATGTGACTGCACTTGCTCACATAACTGGAGGTAGTAGGAGGTAGCCAATGGATGCATCAAAAGGTTGCAATCTGGGCAGGAAAGGGTGTGGCTTGGAGCCTTCCATTTCCCAGCGAGTGATCTTGCCTGCAAGGCGAGCAGTAAGCAGGAGAGAAAGAGGCTTGGAGCCTTTTATTTCCTGGTGAGCGAGATTACTCACCTACTACTAGATAGGTGTTTTCCATACACAAACGGTTTAGATTAGATTTCAGCAATAATAGCGTTGCATCGCTCTACGCTACAGACCGATGCGACGGTTCTGAGATTCAAAACAACAGCAATTGTGATCCAACCACTCTATCTATCGTTCAGACTCTCTGATAAAACAGTGCGGTCGAAGAAGCGGATATAATATGCAAGTGTATTCATGCAGAAAAAGGCAAAAGAGCCAAGTTCAGATCATTCTGGTGTCTGCATTCTGAAGCCGTACTGCATTGGTATGTGGTCATGGTTTTACTTTCAACGGTCTAAGCAAGTTTGCCGGGCTGAGAACGATCGAACGAACAAAGCCAGGCCTACTTCTGACATTGTTTTCCCCTTAGCTTTTTGGCCTCCTCCAGAGATCGCACAAAGTCGATAAACAGGGGGTCGAAACAAACAGTAGATTGTGCAACTCTGGCATGCATCTGTACCGTTGAGATTTTCTAGTTGTTAGCTTCTTGGCCCCAGGGATTTTATTTATGAGATGAGCAAAACTTTTGTCCCATCCTTCAATCGACGAATGGCTTTCGAATCCAGCCTTGCAATTCTGAAGTTTCCCAAATGCCGAACAGTAGCAAACTATCTTCATCGAGGAGGTTTGTGTTTTGTTTATTGTTGCGCATCTCCATCAATGCCGTCCTCTTCTGTTGGTGCTTGTGTGTTGGAAGACGACGGTGATCCAATATCATTAATGGTCCCCAGCATGACGGATGGTTCCCCCGATACGAGGGTTTCATATTGAGACTGAGATGCCTTGATTTCTTGCGCCAGACTTTGAATCTCTTCTCTGTCTTGCTCGGATACTGGAACTCCATCTTGCAGCAATCCCTCCAAATCATCGTACATCGTAAAAATCCGATCTTCGACCGCTTCTGCGAGCATGGCTCTTCGAGTGCGTTCTTCAATCGACATGGCTCGAACTTTGTCAGCCCCTTTTTGAGAGGCTTGTTCCATAAAGGTTTCCACGGGATCTGGTTGTTGTTGCGGTTGGCCATCATTATCATCGTTTTCTGCCGCCTGCAGTAAAGGTATTCTGTGGGTAGCTTGTGTGCGACGACATGATGGAACAAAACCAAAGGATGCTCGGATGGTCAACATCAAGAATAGGAAATTCAGCAGAAGCTTGGCCATTGTTGCTCTCTTTCTCCTTACTTGTGCTGGCTTTGATCCTACCCTACAACATGTACATGCAACGGCTGGAATGTTGCGGTGTGTAGTTTGGGAGTGAGTGAGAATTCCGAAGGAAGCAAAGATCGGCAACTTCAACTTGCTCCCAGCAGCCTACAGTAGAGCTAGGGTTTTACGAAGAAACGTGCCGTGGAGCGGAGGGTCGGGAGGACAGCCACAAGGACAAGGCCAAGGGCTAGCTCTAGTAGGCTTACAAGCAAAGATAAACCTTAGGGGGGGGGGGGGGCAAAGGGCTTGGCTTTGCCACGGAGCTACGAGGACTCTTTTGAAGGGTGAGGTGAGGATGTCGCTCGCAGCTGCATGAGGGTTGCAACACGAAGGCTGCAAGTAGGAACTTGGTGATTGTGTCCTGTGCAGAGAAATCCGATTCTAAAGATAAACAACGCACACATCAACCAGAGCAGTTCTGCCCCCCGGTATGGATTAAACAACGCACACATCAACCAGAGCAGTTCTGCCCCCCGGTATGGATCGGTGCTGCTCTGACTATCATCATTCGAACAAAGGCCAATAACAGTGTATATGCAATGTAGAGATATCTAAGTATTCATAGAGTCATACATGCCTTCAGACGCCACTAGCTGGCCTGTTTCCGACTCATCAAACCTCTTGTGAAGTCGCCGAAACGGTACCCGCCTCCCGAATTGGCATGACGAGCCTGCTTCCCACGGGCAAGAACACCCCTCGTGAAGTCTCCGAATTGGTAGGGTTTCTTGTTGCCCTGTCCCTCCGCTTGTGGTTGCTGGCCGTCGTTTTGTGCCACCGGGGTGGTCGTCTTTTCCACCAATTTTCTTCCACCCATCGAACCGGCCACAGATCCGGCAATCAGACCAACGGGACCGGCAACCGCCAAGCCCACCATAGCACCTGCCACCACGCCCGTGGTCCCTCCGTACTCGTACTTGCTCGCCTTGACATGATCCGTGGCGGATTGAACCACACCTTTTCGACTCGCTTTCCCAGCTTGGACAATCACAGCGGTCGATTTGGACTGGCGACGCTCCACCGGCTTGTCAACATCTGCCGTGCTTGCCACGGCGCCCGCCACCAGCCCCACCGGTCCAAACAAAGCTGCACCCGCCAAGCCACAAGTCAAAGAACTGGAACCCAAGTTGCGGATGAAACGATCTCCGAGGTAGCAACCCGCCACATAACCAGCTGGTCCCAACAAGACGGCGCCAACGCCCGCTCCTATCATGGAATACTTGACGCTGGCCACGTCGGAAGCAACCGCTTTCAGCGAGACGTCGGCCTTGTCTCCATTCCACAGATCCATCTGGTTCAAGACGGAACGAGCGTAGTACTCCAACAAAGTTCGGACGGTGGCTGCCTCGGAGCCCTGACAATCGGGGAACTCCATGGCTCCATTGTACGCTGCGAGCTCACATTGAGTGGCCATGACCCGTGCCAGTGGGATCTTGAGGTCCATTCTGTGGCAGCCACCGCACTCGTCCACCGTCGCCATGTCATCCCAAGACACCAGCGTGGTGTTATCGGGGATGTGTCTCGTATCTTGTTTGGCATTCTGTAGGAACTGCTTCCATTCTTCATGACTCATTCGGGTAGCCCTGGCCTCTCCGTGCTGCTCGTTTTCTTCCTTGGGTAAGCCAAAGCGCTCCAAGAAATCCAGCAGTTGATTGCGAGTGACCAGCGGGTCCACAACCAGTTTTTCCACGTGGACAACCAAATCATGGACCTCTGACCCGACCAATTTGGCCCTGAGACAGAGCCCTCGAGCTGTAAACAAGGAATCGCCCAGAATAGCCAAGTTGGCACGCACCAAAAGAGACCCATCTTCCTCTTCATAACGAATCTCGGCATCCTTGCTCAGGTGCACCGACAAGCCACAAATCAACTCATATTGCCTCATGTCGCCTTCTTCTGCCCAGGCCACGGCCAGGGATTGGTCTTCTGCTTGTTGGTGCGAATCCCCGATCCTTTCTGGATTCCTCGAAACAACTTCTTGGGGAACTGTTCCTTCTTCGAGGTGTTGATGATGAGTGCTTTCGCCGCAACAAGCATCTGCGCTGAAAAAGCTCAAGCGCACACCGTTCCTGTGCGTGCTTGTGTTTATTGAAGTCACAGCGCAACTGTGACTCAGATCTCCACACCAAGACTGTTAGATGGTCCCCTGGCTTGCAGGACCCACAATTAGATGTAGATCCAGCAGAGCCTCCAACAGCTATAACAGCTATTGGGGGACACTCCCTGCTCAGCCAATGGCTCCCATAATTGTTTCTAACCTCCAGTTTATCAACAGAGCCATTAGCTTCAATAGTGTTTGTGCCTGTGGGTCGGTCGATTGGGGTATCTGTCGATGGCGCTGGTTGGGGTTCGGCGCCGCTATAGCCGCGCGATCGCTCCGCCACTATTTTCATCAGATCGCAGTCGTCGTTTCCTTCCTGCACTTCTCTGGGAGCCATATTTGGTCTTTGTCGCCAACTAGCTAGTGGGACTTTCTTCCTTTTTGGAGGGTTAAAATAATGAGACTTGGGTTGTCAGAGTACAGTTGTACCGTATAACAGAGGCCAACAGGATAGTAAAAACAAATACTATTGACGTACGTGTCACTGATTTGGACTGTGCCTCTTACCGCAACAAAGATCCCGTCAAAGTTTTAACCCAACAAGAACGCGACAAAATTTCCAAATATAAAGATGCGTGCGAGTCCAATCGAGCTTCCTTCCACCCCTTTGTTGTTTCAGTGGATGGCATGCTTGCCCCTCAAGCCAAGACTCTCTTACAACGCCTTGCTTCTGCTACTGCCTCCAAAACTCAATTTTCCTACTCTCAAATGATGTTCTTCATGCAGACCCGTATCTCAATTGCCCTTGTGAAAGCTACCCATTTATGTCTCCGTGGATCCCGCAAAGCCAAACCCTTTGCCCCCCGTAATGGTCCTCAATTTCTTGCCCCTGATCCCACAGAACCTAGTCCTGAATTTCGACTGTTCTTTGCTTAAGCCTGGCCCCGGCTGGCTTCCGTAGATAATTTCCCTACTCTAAAACCCCCCTCCAAATACTAAATAGATACGATTGAATGTTTCCAAAACGTGTGTTATGGGGTGGCCCGAAGGGCCACGCCCCAACGTCATATTCATGACTCAGGGCACCCCTACCGCAGTCACAAGCGCCAGCAGAGCCTCGCTCCCAACTCCAACGCACCAACACAACAATCCACTCGCAAATGTGATCTCTCAAACTCATCGCTGAAGATAGTGGTAGCGAGGACACTTTTTGAAGGGGAACCTCGCTAGTTACTTAATGCGTCACTTTTTGTCTAATCGTTTTACCACTACTCTTCTTTTTACGGCTAACTTACTTAGGGCAAAACAAAGCCCATTCTTTTTTCCATGTCACCTTCACTGTCTCGCTTAAGCATCTTGTTGGTTCTTCTTTTTTGCTGCCACATTCCTCGCATGATTCACTGCCGAGGGCAGTGCTGCTGCCTCCAAGGACAGTGTGAGAGAAACCTCCTCCATTCTGTTAGCGATTTCTCCAGCAGAGAGCTCCATCATTCGAGGGTTTTGGGTGAACTGATTGGTGATGTCCTTGCGCACAATCCTCATGATGTCATCGATCCTAGTTTTCCCACCAGGTGGCAGCTTGGGCTTCTTCTGTTCAGCTTTGGCCTTCGGCTGCTTCGGTTCCCCCATTCTGTGTGGAGTGGCGGGACCCTTCTTGGCCAGAATCCTCGCATTGTTTTGGGACTCTTCGATCAACCATTTCTTCAAGGTGCCCTCGCTGATGGCATGGTCGTCCTCGTCTGAAGACAGGGAAGTCACCGACTTTGGCGATGCTTTCCGTTTCCACCAACCGAGTCGGTGAGTTTTGGTTCTGCTTGTGACAAACGTATCTGCGAGCAGGAACATAAATGGTGACTCACCCATTTCCTGGTGTCCGCCGGTGAACGATCCTTCTTGATCCAGTCCGGCAAGCTGACGATTGATCTGCTTCTCGATGGAGGGGACTGCATCGTTCCTTTTGAGAGGAGGGGCATCTTCGGGTGTGTGGGGGGCCCTCTTGCTTGCCGGTTTCTTATTCTCTTTCTCAGGTGTTTCAAAAAGACGATCATCCTTCTTTTTACCTTTTCCAGTGGCAACCATTGGCGACGGTGGTGGCAGTTGCTGTGGTGGAGTTTCTTGCGTGAAGAAGCCAAAAAGGCCGTCGTTGTTTGGCGAAGGAGGTGTCGCTGGTGCCCTCGCTGGAGACAGTGCTGCGAATCCGGCGGGGGAGTACGACATCACAGTCCTGCCACGAAGGATGTACTTGACTCTGGAATACTGGTGGGCCATCCTTTTTGTGGCCTCGACTCCTACAATCAGCAAACACAACAATCAGCCATCAATCTTTCGCGGCGGCATTGTTGGTGGGAACAGGAACAATCAACAGGCGGGGAATATTCAAATTTGAATTTTCCAGACCAATCAGGTGTTGCCACATCAGCATGATCGGTGTCCAGCCTCCGAAAAGGACCATTAAGAGTACTGCTATGGAGGTGCCAGAGTGTGTACTTAGGCATTTGGAGAAGGAACGCAACAATCTACACTATCTGTACATGAAGATCCATCATACTGGTGGATCGCTAGCCGACCTAATACATAGTAAATTTGAAATCGCTGCTGCCTGCTTTGGCGGCAAGTTGACTAGCACCATCGTTGCATGGCTATGGTTTTAAAAAATTTCGTTGATTTTGCTGTTTGCTTTCGGACTCACATTTCAAAAAGTATTCGTTGTGATGCCGAATCCTTTGCGGGGCCTATTCCGAAAGGGTTGGCAGCGTCGTCGGCGCAGGAATAAGCGTCCACCTCGTAACAATGGAAATGGTGTTCTGAGCAGGGGGCAGCGCAGGAAGAGAGTGCAACGAGAAATCCATGAACTGGAGAAGGGAGGTATTATGCCCTCATTTGACGAGCTTATGCCACTGCTGACTTGCAATGACAAGGCTACACAATTTTTCTATGACAACAAAGTACTACAGCCACCGGCAAACTGTCCTCGTTGTGACAAGCCCATTCCTTACGCCCCCAACGCTAGGAACACTGTTAGGTGCAGGAGATCCGACTGCCCATTCATCATCCCGTCTGAGTGTGACAAGTGCGGAGATGTGGTTGCTTTTTACACGGACGAAAACTCAGGTGAAATCCTGTCGGCGGTGTGTCAGAACAGTGGTTGTCATTGGACTTGGAAGCACACCGGTACAGCATTCGAGACCTCAATCAACAAAGGAAGTGTCATGGTGAACTGCAGGCTCGAGAAAAACAAGATTCTGTGGTTGATCTATCTCTGGCTATTGAAAGTGCCAGTGAGGACTGCTTCTGTCATGTCGTCGGTTTCTGAGGGAACGGTCAGTCGATGGTACCGGCATTGGAGGAGAATGGTCACCGAAATGGTCCTACAGGCTGGAAAAGAAGAATACATGCTAGGTGGACCGGGAAGGATTGTCGAGGCCGATGAAGGGAAGTTTGGCAAGCGAAAGGACAATCGAGGCAGGTGTGTGAATGCTGATTGGGTCTTTGGAATGGTGGAGCGAGGAGGTGACCGGAAAATGGCCCTCGCAGTGGTGCCTAACCGGAAGGCCGACACTCTGATCCCCCTGATTACGGCTTTTGTCTTGCCAGGTACAACAATTCACACCGATATGCATGGAGGCTACAACAAGATTGAGGAGCTGGAGGGCTACGGCTACGTACACAAACGACTATGCCATAAGTACGAGTTTGTGGCTCAGGACGGAACTCACACTCAGACGATTGAAGGCAACTGGAGAGTGCTGAAGAAAAATGTACCAGAAAGTCAGAGAGAGGGTAGCGACCTTCAGGAGTACTTGTATGAGTGCATGTGGCGGCGCAAACACACCAACAATTTGTGGGGTTCCTTCATGGAGGGACTTGCAAGTCTGAGATACCGACCTGCCGATATCGACCGCCTGTGGGATCACCGGGAGTTGATGGATGATCCGGACAACTGGGACCCTGATGACACGAGTGAAAGCAGCGATGATATCAGTCTGTCGGCAGACTCGAGCGTCAGTGAAATCAGTGCGAGCGACCCATCGTCCGACTACATGGTGATCTAGAAAGTAGTTCTAATTGTTACTATAGTAGAGAATTGGCTGTTGCTTCCATTATCTTTGTTCGAGTAGCGGCAGGTCCTGTCATTGTCTGTTAACTTTCTTCTTCGTTGTTGCTGTTTTCACTTGACCTCTGACTGGTTGATATTCGGACGTTTGCTTCCAGTCACCACTGTACGTCTATAGCAGAATTAGTACAACGATGTGTACGTGTGTGTAAATTTTAGTACTATCCAGGGGTTGTTGTAATCTTGCATTTAGACGTAGCGACTTATGTGACAGAGGAGTATTCCTGCACAGCGGATGATTACATAGAGACGGATTCTCGGTGGGTGTCACAAACTAGTACTGTACTTAGGGAAAGAACGACGTTTATAGTGGATTAGTAGAAAACGTACTTCAACAGACTTCGCTAAAGTTCAATCTCCTAATTACAGCTTCTAATTAATTTGTCTGTTGGTGTACGTTTTGTTGGGTGTGAACGTTAATTGGCGACCATTCGGTAGTCGTTGTACAGGAATCCCGTAGGTTTTGACAAAACCCGAAAATATTTCCATCTCACTTTCACAATTTTGCTCCGACGTCGAACCCCTGTCATTTTTATTCTTCAACTTCGCAACTAATGAGACCATGATGTGCTGCTATTTTACAGGAGGATTACTTCACTTTGGTTTTTGGATTGCGAAATGGCGACCATGGTGGAAAGGTGCGTTCAGAATGTTTACGTGTTCGTTTACTTATTGGGCCCGCCAATTTCCACTCCCCAGCAGCGATGATTTTGGTTTGCATCATTTGTTTGTGGTTTGTCGCCTGCGCATTTTGTCGTTGACTCTCTCTCACGCCTGCCCTTTTTGCCGTTATTAGGTGGCTTCCTTTAGGGAAGCTTGTGGGGCACAACGGTGGCAACTACCCGTGTTATGTGTATGTGTTGGGGAATTGCATCCAAATCCACGACTGGGAACTCCCAAGAGCTGCACTTATTCCCGCCCAGTCCCGACCTCGGACTTAAGATACAGAGCAAAAATCGCCACGGCACCGGACAGCGCTGCGCGCCAACAAGCGGATCAACTCATCTCCACGAGATCCAACACAAAGCCCTGTACCGGTAGTAATATGCATGTAATGTTGTCCTTCTATATGTATCATTATTTATTTATTTACTAGTTAGTTCCAGCTTCACCTTGGACCCCTCTCGCATCCCCGCATCCTTCAATGTCTTTCCCTTGGGCAATGCCTTGTCCCCGAGTTTGAACACTGGATTCTTCCCCGCCAAGTCTTTGGATTTGGTAAGTTCCGCTAGGGCCTTGATCATCACACTCATGTCCGACGAGGGTGGGAGTGACGGTTTGTAGGATTTCCCGTCGGGCATGACAATGGTCACTTTGATAACTTTGGGTTCCATGTAGAGTTCCGATCCTTCTTGAATCCCAAAATCGCGACAAAAGGTTTTCTTGGACGAATTACTTTTCCGAAAGGACATGCTCTTCAAGAGTGATTTTCTCTTTTCTTCCCCACCACTCGACCCAATAAGTTCGTCTTTGCAATCCTTGTTGGCAAACAACCGTTGATTGTCTTTGGGCACCTTGGTTTTGGTTTCAATAAGTGTCTTGAGATCGTCGAGTTTGTCTTTGGTCAAATCCAACATCAGCTGCACTTTTCGATTCTCCAATACAAGATGAATGGTAACGGGAACTTTGGCAAAGAGCTCCACCTTGATTTGAGCTCCATTGGGAATCCCCATTTCCTTGACGGTTTTCCGGGGCGGCAATTCGTTATTCTTAAAAAACAAGGATTGTCGTGCCGCCGCCAGACCCGATTCGGTTTCAATTCGCGCTTTCAATTGCTCAATGGTATCGGAGTTGGGTGCCACCCCTTCCATGGTGAATGTCTTGTTGGGCAATTGGACCAACAAGGCAATGGTTTTGGGATCCAGATCCAGTTCCGATTCGTCCTTGATGGAATAAAAGCTCAATGGTTTGGGCCCGGTCAATTCGTTGCCAAGAAATCGCAAGCAGATGCGTTGTTGTTCCGGTTTCAACCCCGTTTTGGGTTCCAACTGTGCCTTTAAGCTTTTCAGTGTATCCTTTTTCACGTCCACTTGGAGTTGAATTTTGTGTTCTTGCTGTTTGTCGTTGAAATACACGGTAATGGTGACTTTGGTGTCTGCTTTTTTGGCGGGTGCCGGGGGCGGTGCGGCGGGTTCTTGCATCACCGTGGTACTCTTGGAGGGTCCCTTGTTGGGCGGTGGCTGTTGTCCGTTCTTTGGAGCTGGAGCGGCGTTGGCCGTATTTTCCTTTCCCTTTTTGTTCTTGGCGGGTGGATCCTTGGGTTTCCCTTCTACCTGTTTGTCACTCTGCTCTTGGGAATCCCCCTTTTCACCGTCATCGTCTCCCAGTGCCTCCAATTTGGGATTGGGCATACTCTTGGTTCGGGGTAGTTTCTTTTCTTTGGCTTCTTCTTGCGACAATCGTCGTCCACAGCCGCGACTATCGTTGGTACTAAATCGTTTCGGTGACGTCGGTGCGGCCGTGTGTTCGAGATCGGGTGTCGTGTCTTTCTTGTCGGCGACCGACGGTCGCTGTCCCTTTTTACGAATGATTTTGCGTTTGAAGGAGGTCGGATCGGGTTCTTCCAAATCTTTGAGCTTTTTGTGTTTGGCCGTAATGCTCACTTCGGCCGTCGGTTCGGGCATGGGCATACTCTTGGCTCGAGCGGGAGGTTTTTTTGTCTTTGGTTTTTTCTGGTCACCTGGTTCCTTTGCTTCGTCGTCAGCTGCGATTTCGTCTTTGCTGCTACGGCGAACTCGAGGCAATGCCTTTTTGCCAGCCTTTTTGGCAGTTTCTTTCTTTTTGGCAGGTTGTTTGGGTGGTGGTGTCCATTTCTTTTTGGGACCCTCCGCGGGTTCTTCCGCAATGGCCGGTGTAAACGCTTCTAGATTCTCTACCGGATCGGGTTCATCCGTAATCTGTTTGACTTCTTGCGCTTTATTACAGATTTTCATAATTCCCAAATCGGCCATGATGGTACAAAATGCCTGCAAGCGTTCGCGATAGCGTTCGATCGATTCCATCAATTGTCGATCGGCCGCGGCTGCCAGGGCGGGATGTTGTTTTAATTGTTGCAAATGTTGATCGGCCGCATCGAGTGCGGCATACGACGAAAAACCTTCGCGAATCAAAATGGCGCCCATGTGAAAATTCGTGTATTCGACCTGTTCCGCCATGTTTCCCGGCAATAAGAGTTGCAAGGCATCGGCAATCGACTCGAGTTTGGCACCCAATTCATTGAGTGCCTTGCGAGCTTTGACGGAAGGATTGCGGTCTACCGAAAGTCCGCCATCATCAATGGATGACTGTAATTTGGAATTAATCTTTTCCAAACTGGTAATGCTCTTGTTGAATTTGCGATAGGCTTCTTCTGCCTTGATGCTCCCATCTTGATCCAAAAACTGTTGAATGGCGGCCAGAAAGGATGCCTTCCAATCGGCAAAGGCAGCTTTGGAAGAGACACCCTCCAGTGCGCCCATTTGGCGCTTGAGCTCGGGATCTTCTTTCAAATAGGTGTCCATATTGGTGGATGATTATTATTGATTGATGTTATGTTATGTTATGTTATGTTATGTTATAGTACGGATGATAGATAGTAGTCCCCTCCCTTGTGTTGGTTTTTAAGTTTACAGATGGACTATCCATTCAAAGTGGAGTATTGTGAGGTGTGATGTGTTTGTTTTTGGCCATTGAGCTCGGGGGAAGGAAGGGTGCAGTCACACAGTCATTTTGGATCTTTTCTTTGGGGTTCGCAAACTCACTGCGGTACCGTACGGTACGGTACAGCACGGTACGAGCTAGTACAGTACCGGGACCATGCGGATTGGTTGGATTACGGTTTACGACCGCTACAGCTACAGTGGTTGCCGGATTGGCACTTCCTCGCCACTAGTCTACGACCTCTTTTTGGTGCCCTCGCCGGGGTAAGTGAATGGCAGCAAGGCATCCCCTCGCACAATACCGTGCCGTACCAGAACAAGCAAAAGGAGTAATTAATACACCCCGAGGCGGCAGCCACCGATCGAATTGCATGTCGATCCCGGGGGTACGGTTCGCGGCCTCCAATCGCAAACAGAGGTTCGAGGAAACGTGCGCAAGATTGCAAGCAGAACTCGTCGTATTCCTCGATGATCGTAGTTGTCACTTCGTCCAGATGATTATTTCCATGCAGCCAGCGACAGCGATTACTGGCAGGGATAGCTACCGTACGACCGATGATTGCCTCGTACGAACCACTGAGGAAGAGACGAAAGGCATTTCATTGCAACTTGCTTGCCTCACAGGTTGACTGCTTGGTCATCATGATCGGAACGGCAAAAAGTCGGTCGTCTCGTAGCGCGTTGAGAAAGTCGTAGTCTTTTGGAAGATCAGCTCAGTCCATTGACTACCGTAGCAGAGGGAGAGACAAGGGATGAAAAAACAGTGTTTAAAAGCAGAGGTCACGAACAGTTAGTTTGCGAGTTAGTTTTTCTCTCGTTGTATGTATGGCTGCTGCAGTTTCCATGCCAACCCCCCAGCATTTTTATCCTACGGGTAGCTTGCTAGGGTTGTCACTGACACCCTACTGGGACACGCAGTAGTCAGCAGCATCACCATCACAACACAGAGTGCAACAAGAGCACTCTACCATGGGATTGCCGGTGCCACCCCTTGGCAAACAGTCAGCTGCCACTTCAAATGTGTTCTTTGTGGGGTCAGCCAAAGCACAGACAGATGATGGCATGGAACCAGAAAGGTCATTCCCATTCAAAAGAAACCAACGTAGATTTCTCAGAGTAGAAAGCTGTGTTGGGATGGTGCCATGGAACTTGTTGTTGGAAATGTCAAATATGTCTAGCTTTGACAAAAGCTGCAGTCTAGTGCTGATTGTCCCAGTCAAACCACAGTTGGATGCATGAAGTCCAGCTAAGTTGGTACATTCTGTAAAGAGTTCCTCTGGTAACGAGCCATCCATATTGGTCCGACTGACATCAAAAGCTGCCAGAGAGCCTTTCAGAAGTCCTATTTCCGATGGGATGGTTCCGTGTAAAGGGTTCCCTTGCAAATAGACGGTGAGATGATGACCTCCGTTCAATGCTCCGATTTCAGTGGGTAGAGTTCCTGTAAGCTGCAAAGCAGGGAGAGGGTGAGCTGTCAAACACGATTTAGTGTTTTGCCAAAAGTTGAACATCAACTGATGTTATGTTCTCAAGCAAGGGTTGTCATACCTTATTGTCATTGAAAACAATAATAAGACCACTTCCTTTGCCGGTCTGAAAAAGCTCTGTGGGAATGGAACCGGACAAGCTGTTTGAACCAAATCCAAGCGTAACCCCATCAAAGAGTCCAACTTCTGTAGGTACTGTCCCAGTTAGTGAATTGTCTGAAAAAGAAAGAGAGGAGAGCTTGTTGTTTCCAAACAATTCCACAGGAATACCTCCAGACAGTTGGCTGTCGTGGAGACGCAGTACAGAAAGGGAACAGAAGCTGCCATATATACTTGGAACCGTTCCTGTCAGCTGGTTCCTCATAAAGTCTAGTTCTTCCAGTGCTGGAAGACTTGCAAGTTCTGTGGGCAGAGGGCCGTTCAATCCATTGTCCCCTGATAATTAAAACAAGCTAAGGATAAGTACAGGAATCATGCAATTTTGGTTCTTGTTGTGTCAACAAAAACTAGAAAAGAACTCACTGAGGTGCAACTGAGTCATATTCTTCTCTCTGTCGCACATAATTCCTGCCCATTGACATTCATGGACACCTTCAAGCCACCGACTTTCCAACGATTCTAAACTGTGCACATGAATCCAACATGTTTCTTCAGTTGTAGATGGCCCGCAATAGAGCCAGTCACTCTCTTGAGATGTTTGAAAGTAAGTTAATGCCACAATGAACCTTTGTAGAAGATTGTTGGCATCTGGGTCGAGCTGCAGAGGATCCTCAAACACAATCCAATCAAGAGCCTTGAACTTTGGCTGGGTGGGTTCTGGCTGATCATTTTTGGGAAAATAGTCAGGACCAAAAGCCTCTTCAATTCTGTTTTGAATGTCCTCTAAAACAATATATCGAAAAGAAGTGGGAGCCTGAGTCTCCACATCACCTTCTTTGCTGCAGAGACCAGCGCCGCAGATGGAACCAACAATGACTCCAACAACTAGAAGGCTACCAATGAGAAAAGAGATGATGCAAGTCATTGAGGTTGATTTGTTTTCCCCGTGCACATGGTCGGGTCTAGCAATCTGTGTAGGTTCTTCATTTTGTTCAACCTGGTTCGCCACCACCAATCCACTATTGTTGTCAGCTGGAGTAGTGATACTTTGATTCCTTGCATTTGTGCTTGAAGGAAGCCCTTCATCAGAACTACCAGCGACAGCCAACTCACGAGAAGCAGTAGCTCCTCCTACCAATGAACGATTGAGTGTTGTGGTTCTCTGGAGATCAGTCCCGGGGGCCGATGCATATGCTCCTGGATGCATGGTGCCTTCACCTGAATGATTTTGCCCACGAGTCAACCTTGGTTGCGGAAAAGCAAACTCATCGTCAAGACCAGCTCCTGTTGATGGAGTTTCGCTGTCAACTTGGCGTTTCCTCTCCCGCGGACTTATCGCCTGTTGTGCTGGGACGATGCTGGAATGACTGGAATGACCTCCCCACTTCCGTTCTCTTTGATTGCTCGTCTTCTCTCTGTTGCGCTTCCGATCCAAACATTGCCAGCTTTCTAAGCTCCACATCAATATTGTCCCCCCGGCTTCTGGCAGCCACAAGATCCATCAACTCTTCCTCAGCAGAAGCTTCCATCCTTGCTCAATCCATCAACCTTACCCGTGTTGTTAGGGTTGTGTGTTGTCTGTGGGAGCGTTTGTGGGTTGGGAGGTGGGCGAGCCGTGCAATTCTCGCCGTTCTTCCTGAGAGTTCTGCCCAGCACCGACCAGTTTGGACAAACAGGCCTTTACCTCGGCAGTCTTGCTGCCAGAGCCCTCAACCCCTTTAATTGTTTTTCCTGCTACGGCGGTCCCTGCAGGTATAAGGGTAGGGTTAGAATGCAAATAAGCCAGCAAAAACTAAATAAGTATCCTAGGATGGTGCTTTTAGAAACCAGCTAAAGCTATTTACATGCATCCTAGTAGGGGGATCTGCTTCTACCAGGAAAAACTCTGAAACCAGAGAAACCTATATAACTAGTATTCTAGCTAGCTAGGGGTATCTGCTTCTAGCTTGCTATGGGAATCTGCTTCTAGCTAGGGGGAATCTGCTTCTAGCTAGCTAAGCGCAAGTTAAGCACTAGCTAAGCACTAGAGGTATCTGCTTCTAGCTAGCTGGCTACTAGGGGTATCTGCTTCTACACTGAAACCTTTCTGCCGAGGTTACACAGCTCCGCTGGCTTAAAATCTTGCATGGTGTGGACTTTGGCTTGCACTACAAAAAGTGACATACTACTAGTAGTACACCAACTACTATTACCGGTCCCGGTACGTACGTTGACGAGCTGGCACTCAACAGGTCTTTGTCACCAAGCCAGCGCCAGGGTCAGTAAAGTTAGGCAAAGATGAGTTGGAATTCAGACTAGGCTCCGTGGGGTAAGGGGAGATAAAGAATTGAAGACTAGCTAGCCAACACAGGGGCAACACAATCGGATCATGGCAAGGCATCACCTATTGTACCTCCTGTTCCTGAGTCGAGTCCACAGAAGGGACTTGAGATCAAACTGGTCTCAGAATTGATCACGTAGAAACAATTTTTTTCACCCAGCCAGCTGCACTGGAACCAGGAGCGAGAAGCAAAAGGCAGATACTGTACTGTACACCATGAAGCTTGATGAGGCAGCATCGACCAGATAGTCAAGTTGCTTGCGACCCGGGGGTTCGAGGCTAGCCTGGCTCCGAGGAAAGGTGCGTCGCGTTGCAAGCAAAACTCGCTCGTATTCCTCGTTGTCACTTCTTTGTCCAGTTGTTTCCGACCAGCACGCAGCCACTATTAATACCGTACCGGTACGGTACCGTACGGTACCGGTACCCCAGCGTTTACTGATAATATGCATACGACCAGCCTTGCACGGTGATTGTCTCTTACCATTTTGCACGGTGACCCTCTCTTACCGTAGCTCCCAGTCGCTCCGTGAAGCAAGGAGCGGTGAAGAAAGGCGTTTCGGTGCAACTTGAATGCCATTATCGGAACGGCATAAGTCGGTCGTCTCGTGGCGCGTTGAGAAAATCGTAGTGTTTTGGAAGGTCAGATCAGTTCATTGATCAGCTATACCGGTATGTGATGTCTTTACGTGGTACTTGGTTACCTCGTCGCGATGTGTGACTGACTTTGACCCCTGGGATGCCACTCACCACATTCTTGCACTGCACATCTCGTCTGAATCCGTTACATCTAAAATCGACGTTCAGTTTTTTTTAACGCAAGTTCGCTGCTAGTTGCAGCGACTTTCCAAGGAGCGCAAGTAAGTCTTCTGCTACGATGTTGATGACGATAGACGCGCTGCATCGATGATAATGGAACCAAGGAGACCGACGAGTCAAAGCTGTTTGTTCGGATCGGTTCATCAAATCTCTCGATCGGCACCAATGCCGCGAAGGGTGTGTCTGTTGCCTCAAAGAACGCTAAAGCATCTACGGGTCGACAATGCATGTATGCTACTTCTCACAGGGTCAAGACAGATACAAAGCCCAATGCGTCCAACAAACGATATCGTTTAGTCGCGGCCGCACACTAGGACGGCAATAAAATAGCCGATTTAGGTTTTGAGTTAAAATAAGAAACCACACACTGTGCGCCATACTCAGGGGCGCCTACCCTCTTACACATGCGCCTTCCACCCTCCTTTGACGTATGTTCATAGCTGACAAGCTCTATCTAGGTCTCCGTACATGAGGAATGAGCATTGTCAGGTAGCCGGCCATTTTGTAGCTGTTTGGCGCACAGTCGTTTCAGTGCAGAATGTACGTGACTGGAGGATTTTCGCATTTCGCTGCAGAAAACATTCATTCGAATGGACAATGACGCCCTCTTCCGGCGAAACCAGTGCTTCAAGCCAAGGAAATACCCCAAGAAATAACACCAGGACAGCCACCAAGGAGCAATGGCAGTACCTCCCGTAGTGTTGTTCAAAGAACTCCTCTGCGCAGAGTATTGACGAGTGGTTCGCCATCAGTATCAGAATTGACTTCCCCTTCCGGACAGGATGATTCCACGTCGGCTGAAACATTTGGCATGGATCCCCTCCAATACGAAGCTGAATATGACAATGCACGGTACCAAGAGAACGCTGGAGATCCAGAATCTGAAGATGAAGGGGAAGGGCCTGGCAATAATACCCTTTTCAGGGAAGTGTTCAACGAGAGAAACGAACATCAACAAGAAAACCTCGCGGCCATTCCAGACAACTCTGATTTCATTCCATCCAATGAGGAATGCCATCCAGACATCCCAGAAAAGAATATTGAAGGCGCTCCTGCTGACTGGGAAGCTCCTGGTCCTCCAACCGGCTGGAAACTTCCCAAAGCAAAAGCAGAGAAGGGGGAGCCAAAATTTAACAACGTGGACAACCCAGGAGGGTGGTCACCTTATGTTTACACAGCGAAGTTCAGAAAGGCGAGGAACCAGCAAGATAAACAGACTTATGCCTACCATTCGCTCCCTACTGGAGCAACTCCAGTTCCCTTGGATGAACAAACCGGAAAGAGAGTTCACGGTGGATTCGAATTTCATTATCAAGGTTGGGATGGTACCCAGGACCCTGCGTTTCCTGGATATCGCAATGGAGCCAGCAAGAACAACATGTTTCCAAAGGAAAGAAAGGGATGTCTTGATGCCACGAAGTTGGAAGCTCTTGGTTTGAACAGCGACAGGATGTTGCAAAATGATGGTTCGCCTGATGCTCTTTTCTTTTATCAATTGCTTCTACCAATTTGCGATCCAGGCAAATCATCTGTAAAGGATGATCCAAGAAAAGGATTCTATCACAGGGTCTCTCAGTGGTCTAACTTGTATGCCATGGGTGAGCTTGAGCTTGGAAATGGATATGGCCATGAATTCAAATGCACGAATCCTTGCGAGATCCTTCGGTGGGATGGAGTTGTGGTTATGGATGGTGTGCACGGTGGAAGCAGTGGCGCTTTGATGCGACGCTTTGACAAGAGAGAAGGCAACTCAGCTTACTGCCCCTTCATTGGTTCAAGCATGTCTAAGTCCAGATGGCTGGAGATCAAGAGAGTGGTCAAGCTCTGCAATAACATCTAAGAAGCGCATTTTTAGGTAGCGCGAAAACGGGAGCACCCCTACCATACCATTCCACGTGTTTGGCATATAAAATCGTGACGTCACTGGTTAAAGCTTTGGTAGTAATTCAGCAGTTTCGGAAGGTGAGGTCATCCAACCGGATCCGACGAGCTCCTGATTTGTAAGGTAGCATGCATGATAACATACAGCCA